TCGCATCTCCTTACTAGTCAAAAAATAGCTTGTAGTAAAGTTTTGTGCATTGGGAAAAGGAAATGCTCACTCAAAGAAAGTCTAGATGGTATTAACTTAATAGTTCCTGATGGATTAATGGTACCTTATTCTCCAGACAAGGAATTTCGTTCGCGAGATAATCTCATTGGATGATAGAATACAGAATTCACGGAGATTCCACGTGCCTTTTCGCAATGTGCTGTACAGTGTGGGGCAAAATTACTGGTGCAGTTATACTTTTTGAATATTTTAACACCTCTTGGAGATTTTCCTGCTTCACTCGCTTGTGACATGTTGCCTGGAGGTTGCGTAATTCCTACGTACTCGAATACAAAATTATCCGTTTCTGACCTACGGAGCGCGATCATCAAACTTCACAACGGCGGGAAGCAAACAAGAGAAATTGTGAAGGATCTTCGTAGCCTCGAAGACGGTTCAGATATATCAGTACGACGCTATAAAAGAACTGAAGACCGAAGAGAGCAGGGAAGGAAGAGGACGTCCCGCAACAGCTACGAGTCGGAGAAATGTGAGGTTGTCAGAGAAGAATTCGAAGGAATGCCAGGACTAATGCGCACAGATGGGCGAAAGACGTTGGAGTAAGCGCGAGGTCAATGAGAAGGATTGTCAGAAGTAGCAAGGATTCCCCGTTCGCGTGCAGAAATGCCTAACTCCTGACGGACATTATGAAGAAAAGGAGATTGGAGAGGTGAAAGAGTTGCCTGCGGCGATTCACGGTGGCATGCGCCTGAGACATCGTTTTCAGTGATGAAAGATTTTTACTCCTGAATCCAGCTTCGACTCCCAAAATGAGAGGATTATTGCCAGGATCACTGCTGATGCTACACAATGCAAGACTCCAGGAAAGCGAAACACCGCCAAGTCATTCTTGTTTGGGAGGAGTCACCTCTACGGGAAGACCCACTTGTTTTCGTAGAAGTGGTGTAAAAATCACGCAGAGGTTTACAAAAATATCCTGGAGGAAGTTCTCAGGCCGTGGCCAAACGCCATTTCGGGAAGCCTAATGGTGCTTCCAGCAGAATTCTGCTCCAGCACAAAGCAAAGATGGTCCAGGAGTGGTGCGCCGAGCACCTGCCCGACTTCATCAGACACGACGAATGGCCCTCCGATTCTCCTGATCTAAACCCGATGGAATACTCTGTGTGGTCCATCTTGGAGAGCAAAGCGTGTTCTACCAGACATCCAAACTTGGACTCTCTTGAGGTGGCGCTTTCAAAATCTTGGGACGAAATCGATGACCAGTACCTGCGTGCCACATGCGAAGCATTTGTCGAACGTCTGAAGGACTGTGTGAAGGCTAAAGGAGACCATTTTGAGAAGTATTAACATTTTTTGTATTGTCATGTTTGTAGTAAATAATACTGATAATTAGAATTGATTTGTGAGAATTATTGTCAAAATGCCATTGAAAATTTAGTGCACCAGTAATTTTGCCCCACCCTGTACTCCAAAGAAATAAAAGCTATTGATGAGTGATGGTATTTTCCTCGCTTTATTTCTATCATATCAGACATATTCGCAGCATGGTAACGAGAGGAATGTCGAGAAACCCCGTGAAGGAAAAACGAAAGCTCTTACTACTATAACTGGTAAGAGGTATAAGAGGTGCTTACACTATGCACCCCAGGGCAGAGTTGACCGTGTGTTCATTTCAGGGGTTGGGTGGGATTAATAATTGGTTTGGGTGAATGGTGAGACGATTTAGGTGAGAGGTTTTCTGTTTCCCTGCTATTATAACCCCCCTCCTCCTTCGCATCGAGACCCCCTAAAGAAGGGGTCGCGAAATTCCTGCAAAAACGCGAACGTCACGGTTGACCCTGCTGCAGAGGAGCGCCGTCGATCACTGTCGTTCATGACGTCATCAAGCAGCGTCACCCCCCAGCTTCGTGATCACTGCCTTTAAGGTCAAATACGTAACAACCAATCATGGGTGACCAATTGCTCGAATTCAATGATGATATTTTAAAATGGTCTTTTTGATCGTTTCAATTTCTCTTTTCATAGAACTCCGGCTTCGTTATTCGGTTTGATGTTTTTCCCTTCTGCCGATGAGGTTTTTAGGTGGAAACTCTATTAATGGCTAATCTTTTCTACCGATCGCCTTCTTCAAAGGCCAGACATGGCACAAAGCTTGAGAAATACCTTCTGAACCCTACTTCGAAGCAAGGCAGTGGGTTAATGGAATCATGAGAGTACAATGGTCACTGGAAGCTAATTTCTCTATATGTAGTCCTGCTAACACTCCGCAGCGAGACATGGAAGATTCAATAAATGCAAAGCGGGGTCAGCTTTTGCGTATAGCCGTAAGTTTCCCCTCCCTCCCCACCCAATCCCCCCCCCAACACCCGTAGGCCCTTCCCTTTCTTCCAGTTCGAGCAATCTTTAAATGACTCCTTCCTGCAGCGAACACAAACGCGAACCAACCCAAACGCGCTCTTTTACNGAATGCTCTCACGACTGCGCCGCACAGCGTGTAGGAGTCAAAGCACGCTTTCCTCCCTTGTCAGACCGAAAAGACGGAGGGTTTCGAAACACTTTCCAAACGGGCGCAAATCCCTTCAAACTTATCAAGTTGCAACGACTTTGAATGGGTTGAGTCTATTCATAAGAGTCGTAGTTTAGTTCGTATCTACATAAGCTCCTGCGAGATAGAAGAGGATATGAAGAAATAGATGTTTTCCTTAAAATCGAAATCATTCTTCAAGCCCGTTTTTCGAAGAGATTGCAAATTTAGCAATGATTTTTGAATGTTCCACAAGAATGCTGGGTTGTGAACAAAACTTTCGCCCCAGGCGGGACTAGAACCCGCACCTCTCGCTTTCCGTGCAAGTCCGCTACCAGTTACGCTACCGGGCACCATTTCATCCCATTTCAGCTTTTCATGGTATACGTACCATAGCTTTCAGCACAGACACGTATAACGTGTTGAGCCGGTTAGCCGATATCGGCAATGACCGCGAGGCTGAAAACTTTAGCAATAATTTTTGCTCCGCAAGGCGAACTGCGGCTAAAAACAGTAGTTAACAATCAAAAATGCAAATTTAGCTTTTTTTGTACACATGCGAGCATTTGGCATTCCACCGACCATGAGTCTCTGAACATTTTCTTGCAACAGCCCTAAAACGCTGGAGGGTGGAAATTACAGAGTTCAGCTTTCAATAGTAAATTAAGAACTTCTCGCAGCTCATATCTTGTACAGTCGCTCGTTCGACTTGGTCTTTCCATGCTTCCGGCATGCAGTGCGGTGAGCCTTCGATGGTCATAGCTTCCCTCAAACAAGCTTTTGTAAACAAAAGGAAAGCGACGTCGCAAACGATGAGATTCCAAAGAATACCAAATCTTCCCTGAAGAACCCCTCGCAGTCTCGTTTCTGTGAGATTGCTTCAACCCTTGAAATGCCCAGCCTAACCAATCCTGTTTGTCAATCCTTTAATATCATTGCACTTTCTTGCACTTTATTCGGTCTTGAAGAAAGAAGGACCCTCACAAACACTTTTCTGCTCCCGGTGACGAAACCTTGTGCACTCACTGCTCCTGCTCTGACAACGAAAGGATCCTTGTCGCGAATATGGCTAGATGTGCCTGATTTCAAATCTTATTCCACATCTACTCGATGATACTCTGAACAGAGTTATGAAGCAAAAGAGCACAACGCCTGCGGCTGGTACTCAAAGCCCAGACACCGTGCGATCGACCCCTCATGGTGCTTACTGTTTTGCGTTTCAGCCAGCCTGTATCAAAAAATCAGCAAATACGGCAAGGGAAGCATCCGTCAATGATTCCCGACCACTACTTGGGCGCTTGTGCCCCACAATTCTTTCAGAGTACCCTTTAGCAGATTTGAAAGGTGGATTTGAGATGAGCGTTTGAAAGCACCTCTAAACGCAGACATCTGTTCTTAAATGGCCTTATGCTTCCCTTATGGAATGCGCCAAGCAATCGTTTCTAGACGAAATTAGCACAGGCATTTGTAAGACTTGTCCGCGCTGTTACGACCCTCGAAAGACCAACATTCTCATCCATTTGTATTATCGCTTGGGCCAGCAGTTTACAGATGGATTTATATGCACCCAATTGGTTCAAATAATAATTAGTCGTTTTCTTTGCAGAGCTCAAGGTGGCGTAATCCACAATGAAGCGACGAAAGAAGTGGGATTCACATTGAGGATATGGTTTTGTTTTAATTCACTTACTACCATTCGCTCCCGTCCGCCCATAGGCCAAATCAACCTCATCCGCATAACGTAAAGCATGTGTTTTGTTGAATAAATTGGACAAAATCATTTTATTATTCTAATTCCTCTTTAAAATTCTTCTCCAGTCACGGTTTTTTTTTGCATCTGAAGTTCATTTGCAAGCGAAATCACCACATCGCATTTGACGTGCAATTCATGTAGTGATATGAATCTGATGATCACCGGTACAAATTGTCATCTTTGTCCTTACTCACGCAGGTGCTAAAAGGTACCTCTTCAAGCATTTGTTGTTCCACGTTAAACGGGGAGAGGGTGCGTTTGCCAAACGAACCGCGTTCTCTGGGCCCGTTACTTAGTAACCACGCCGAATGAAGCTCTCATCTAACGTCATCTTGACCTGGCACTCCAGCACGAATGAAGCTCTCTCCTTCATATAATCTCCCTTTGGGTGTCCAATTGCTACTATGTAATATTCTTTTCAACCATGTTTGTAATGGTCAATCGACTTGTACTGGTACGTTGTTATATTTCGTGTCGAAATATAATATTTACGAAGAAATGATTGAGTTCTCATAAAAAAATTGCAAAAAGCATCAAAGCTCAATAAATATGGGCAACTGTTTAAATCAACGAAAATTAAGACGTTTTTCTCGATTTCACTCTTACTTAGTTTTCCTTGTAGGCACGACATATTTGAACGTAACACGATCGAAGCAATACCTCACAACGCCTGGCTATGGCAACTTCAACTATCCTCCGAACATGGACTGTTACTTTGTGATGAAAGCTGATGTGGATGATAGGATTTTGATTGAGTTGATAGATGTCGACATGGAGGCTCAGCTATTTCGCTCATGTGTTGACTTTATCGGATTTCATGAAGGTAAATATTTCTGAATTGGATTGAAGCCTTCCTTTGCTGTACGCATGGCGCAATACTACTGCTCTTCCCAATTTAGAAGTCTTCTCGATATTGTGACATTTTTCTAGAAAAAAAGAAATTGGACTAATAAAATGTAATTACGAAGTGGCAGCAAGCCAAAAATTGTACGCTTCGAAATAACGGAGCATTTACATGGATGTTGAAAAGAGATACTGAGGATGCGAAATAACTGAACAAGGTCTACTCAGCAACTTTTGATTTCAAGTATCGTAAGAGCATTTCTGAGGAGTCCGTACGGACCCAACGCACTGATATGTTGTACCTTTCTTTTAAGCTACTTGGTTCTATTATGCACCGGATAACTTTGTGTGGTTTTTTCACCACGAGTTTCGGACCACCAAAATTTTGATTCAGAATCCGGGAATGAGACGGCACTTCACCGTGACTCATTAGCATTTTTCCATTCAAAATATGAATGGAAACCGTATAATTGAAGTTCGGAATTTTTCAAAAAAAAAGTCAAAAAAGTGAGGCAGGTCGGTTTTGACATCATCTGACAAATCATCCCTCTCACTTGGTAAAAAGTTAGGTATGGACAAAAGAACAAACTGCTCGTTAGAGTAGGGTCTGCATTGTATTGTGGGAAAGCTCGAACTCACGCTCAACTGAGAGTCTTTTTTGCCACATGAAGATACAAAGGTGCCCGTTTTGGGCACACTTGTGTAGCAGGTGGGCACATTTATCAGAATGTCTTGCAGAGCCAAGTTCGTGGAAACTCTTGTGCATCATCGATCCATTACAAGTAATGAGTCCTACCATTTCAGCACAAGACTGGTGTAACTTTTCTCTTCTCGTTTTCTTTTCTATTCTCGGCTGACTTAACTAGAGCTTCCATTTTGACGACGATTGCAGGCATCCCTTCAGACTTCACTGTTTTCTGAGAAATTGTGAAAAACCGATGAGCATTGCAAACGGTAATATTCCCTTCAACAAACGAAGAGTTGGTTTGGTTGGCGGAATCTGTAGCTCTTAGCCCGAGTTCGAAAGCATTTGCTACGCACATGCGAATTTCCACACTATACCCAGGTGTTTTCAAAAAAAAGTATAAAAATTAGGTGATTAGCAGCGTATCCGTAGTGTTGGTCAGCAAAAAACGCTCTTTAAGGTTTTACAAGAATGCTGGGTTGTGAACAAAACTTTCGCCCCAGGCGGGACTAGAACCCGCACCCCTCGCTTTCCGGGCAAGTGCGCTACCAGTTACGCAACGGCAGTAATTGCGTAACTGGTAGCGCAACTGCAGTAATTGCGTAACTGGTAGCGCACTTGCCCGGAAAGCGATGGGTGCGGATTCTGGTCCCGCCTGGGGCGAAAGTTTTGTTCACGACCTAGCACTCTTGTGAAACATTCGAAAGGCGATCTGCGGCCAAAAACAGCAGTTAACAAACAAAAACAAGCTCTCTAAGGTAATGTTTCATGTGATCTGCTCCAAAACTTCCTGAACTCCGAGAAACGTCCCTGGTTTTCCGGTGCCTAAATAATAGCAAATAGCCAAACAAATAGCCCATGTTTATTTTTTTAGTGACAACCATTGAATTGCTTATGCATCTGTAGCATAGCTATTGTTGCATCTGTAGTCGTTAGTGAACTCATGTTTTTATTATCTAAGTTATAAGGGAGCGTCTTTAGAATCAAATTGAACATGATCGCACATATTGTATTTAGTCGTCGCCAAGGCGACTGAGTTGATAGAAAGTGATCTCATTTTTTGGCCGAATCCGACCATAAAATTATAACGTTGGTTAGTAGGATGCAGCACTCTGAAGACAACCCGCCCAAACAAGCTATTCGTTTTTTGTGAAGATGTATTGCTTGTTGTCAAAAAAGATAAGTAAAAAAAATTGCGCAAACAATTGAATCCCTAATAACTATCAAAAAAGATCACCTAACCGGGTAGCGTGGGCGGGCTCAAAATAACTGGTATGACGAAAAGCCATATTCGAAAGCGCATGTATTTTCACACGACCTAAAAGTTTACACATCATATTCAATTCACAAAAAAACTGTCATAAACGCTCAGGTTAGGAACTGGCTAATCTTCGTAGTACGGCTGTGCTAAGGCTGAGAGACTGAGCACGGAGAGGAGAGTCTGAGGTGAGAGAACAGCTTTTGTCTGGGTTATGCCTCTTAAAGGTTCGGGCTACGCGGATATGTAGGAAAACATATGACCACTATGTACAAGGACTTCGGAGCCAACTAGAGAGCCCAGCCATTTGGAACCCCTCTAGGGAATTGGAGAAACTATAACGGCTATAAAGATGATGGTTATTTTTTGAGATGCTCTGAATGGATCGTGTGTAAGGCTTTGCAACTGTAGGGCAAGGAAGGCTAAGCAAGTGAAAGGAACAAACAGAAGTGTGAGGATGTGCTTGAAGTGCCCAACAAACACCGCAACGAGCGATTGCAGATGACGTATATATCAGCAAATTTTTGTATATGATGGCTGAAAAGATTACTTTCGCGTTCCTTTCTTTCAGGCACTGTTGAATGTATGCCACTTTACAGGTACTCAGGCACACTTGACTCGCCCCTATCTGACTTTTTGCGGGCAGCTGAGAGATAGACAGGTAATTAAAACAATTGATTCATTCATTAAGCGAGTACCCAGACTGTATTGTTCAGGTGACTTCCAAGGCTGATTCGCTAACCATTCAATTCTCATCTGATGAGGTTGTGGAAGGTCGAGGAGTTCGACTCAGTTATGAGGCTGTATGTGAGTTTGAATTGGTACCGCTTGATGCTTTTGAAACCTGAGAAGAACTACTACGAGGTTACCTGCTTATTTATTGCTTCTGAATAGTGCAAGGGAGAAACGATGTCACCCAAAAACGATCTTGTACGATGAAGCCAGCGCTCTCCCCTATGGCATGGCACGGCATCTGCTCATGCTCTCCTGAATCCTGTCTATTGGTCGTGAAGGCCAGTCAATGGTGGCATCTCACTGCCTCCCATGCAAGCCGGTTTTGGTGCCTTTAGCACCAACTCTCGATAAACTCCCGAAAATGTACGCCTTGAAGGCTCGTTCAAGGAACTGTTCCTATGACTGTTCATGAGTGACGGCGTTTCAGATTTTAGCTGAGAACAGTTGAGTGCCAGTTTCCCCATTAAGCCAATTGCTTTGATTCCCGTCGTTCTTCATCGCTATACATCTTAGTCATTGTTGTGAGCGAATTGCTAACGGCTGTAGGTTTTGCTGTTTTGAGTTTTTCGAATTCGCAAGAAATTCACGAATGAAAAACCGAAATGAATGACCTTTTGCCTTTTTTCAAATGGTGATTCATTAAGTTGGGCTTCGTGTACTATGACAGTTTCTAACTAGGTACTTGACACAGACTCCAGCGAGGCTCGCTTAACGCGACTAATAGGGCGTGATCTTATGCTCCGCAGTATCGGTGGAACCTTCATCATGACGGATGATTCGAAACGTCAAAGGGGACGTACATGGTCGTGTGGTGTATGCTATCGAAAGCTCCGAGCTACAATCAGGCTACCGAAGAAGATGAAAAGGTCGAAACGTAAAGAGAATGTAGTAAGAATTCAAATATCATCCTCCTTTGGCTAAATGCACGGAGCAGTTTTTTCTTTAGTTTCATTTTTTATTTCTTTCTCGTCTTTCATGGGAGGGAGAGGGAATGACAACTAAACAAAGGAAATGAATTCAGATCCTTATTCTGACTTTTTGAGAGTTCGAAGAGATAATATGAGTGGAATGAAGTCGAACTATAAAAGTTGGTATTCTGTCATGATTTAATATTTGTTTAGCATTCGGAAAATGTGATCCGGACTGGATAGGCCGAGAAGATGGCACATGCTACCGTCATCTGGAAACGCACCCAAAAGTTGGGTGGGCCGACGCACAGGTACGTCTTTCGCTTGAAAGGATCACGATAAGTTCTATGGAAATTTACAGGAGAGTGATAGGTGTATTCAGTAGGCGCCAGCGGCGCAACAAGCAGAGAAAAGAAGAAAAAAAGTCGTCGAGAAAACCCAAATAATTGGGACCCCTTTTGGCCGTTGATTTTCGCTTATGTACAGGAACTGGCTAAGATAGATGATCATGAACGAGTTCAAAGCGTTTTGTGGTAATATGCCAAACCATGCTCTAGTCGAGTTGCTCGAATTGGGTCTTGGTGGCAACACAGCTCGCTCAACTCACCAATTGAACCAATGGGCGGGGCGCTTTTGGGGCAGAGCGCTTTTCAAGCACTGCTCATCAACTAACTTGCGTAGTGAAAGCGTCACACCTCGCTTTCTGGGCAGCCATGCCACTGCTTCGTGTGATGTAAATACTTACCCGATGCGCTCCCTCTTCATCGTCATAGCTTCCTTGGCGATACATTGAAGGAGTCCTTAATGTGGACCCGAAATGAAACTACTCAAGGAATTCAGTCATAAAAATTGAAAAGCAAAAACTTTCCACAGTAGATTTATGATTTGCTCACCTTTCCTTTGCGGTGTCCATCTCTAGCTTAACCCAGCTTCTATAGCCGATTCTTTGAGCGATTTTGGATTCGTGCACCTAATCAGACTGGACTAGAAGTTGGGCTGCTGAGGAAACTTCTGTTTCATACAACTAAGATCATGAGTGACACTAGGCAAGATAAATTTCTTGGCTAGCAGCTAAAAGCACAAAACGCTGTATTGCTCTAAAATCATATCTTCTAGTCGTCGAGGCTCAATGTGCCGGAAACTTTCCTCGAAGCGAGGGTCCGATAAAGTGTGGTGCAGCGTGGAAATACATGCACCAGCGGGGCTGCCATTCCTTCTGAGCTCCGCCTCCGCCGCCTGTGCTCCGCCCAGTAGAGTGCACTGCTAGCAACTCATTCTTTTAATCTTTTAAATAGGGTGCTTCACTTCGAATGCATATACTATAATTTTCCCCTGGTATGATGGTGGCCATCGGTTGAAAATACGCAAACGACCTCTTATTGTTGGTTGGTTGCTAGCTAGCCCATTGTCGGTGGACAACGAGCAGAGAAAGGGGCCATTTTACGCGTTCGTGACGGATTTCCTCTTTTCGCCACTGGGGCATTTTTTGGCATCCCCACATCCACCTTTAAAGGACGAATTCACGATGAAGAAGCAACCCATTTCAAACTAACCTAGGGATGGTGAGTCTTACACGAAAAAAGGAAGAACCATGAGAAACGGCCGGAACCCGAGAAATGGGACCCCTTCCTTGCCCGTTGATGCGGGCATTGATGCGACTCTCATCGCTGTGCCCTCTTCAACGCTACGCTCTCTCACCTATCTAATCACTCACCACGTGTAGACCTGCGGCGAGCGATCAGATGATCCCGCGCCGGATTAAACCTTAATAGGTCAACGAGGTCAACTCCTCCTGTGCAAATTGTGCTCAGTTCGCACACTTAGGAGCTCCGCGGTCCTCAACAGGTGAATTCTTCCTAATTCGATTTTCCCTCTGATCGTGAATTCGTCCTTTAACCCAACCCACTCTATTGTAATCCCTCGCTTTAAGTGACATGGAGCTATCCAGAAGGTTATATTCAAATCTGTCAGGGAGAACCATGTCAGAGTAAGGGGCCATTGAGGGGGGGGGGGGTTCAAGACCATTGCGAATCCGAGGTATATTTTGCGAACTGACTATATAGAGAACGGCATTTTTGAAATAAGCACGATATGTTTTGTTTTTCAAACGACCTCATAGGAGGATTTGAGGATTTTGACGCATTCCTCGCGAGGTCGTGGTAGCGTTTCTCTGCTACATGAATGTAACAAGCTCTTGCTGAAGTAATGCTGTTGTTTCAGAAGAAAGTCCTTGCATATGCCTTGCACAAGGGAATTTGTAATTAGCACCAAATTCTCTGTAACTCTCTCTGTGAAATTGAAAATCCTCATTTACGTCCTAATGACCATCTCATGTTATTCATGGTTCAAATTAAACTGAAAAAGTATCGTGTTGCGTTGCGTTCAGGATCAATGTGGTCAAATGCAGGCGAATTTGGCCACTATCCGTAATCAAGAGGATTACGAGTATATGTCAAGTTAGTTCACTTTTCTTTCATCAAAAAAGGGTGGTTCGCCAAATCCCACTTAAATCCTATTTAAAAATATTAAAATCGCAAGTGCGAGTATAAGGCGCATAGAGAAGCTCTGATAAAAGCAATACTCGCTGGCGGGAGTGGTGTAGTGGCAATGGCGCTGCTTACCATGCGTGCGATCAAGGGATCAAATCCTGGGTCGCACGGGTAAACAAGGCTGACGGGTTTGGTAAAGCGGCGCTAGACTTTTCTGGGAGGAAACATTACTACGTCGGCCGCTGGAGGTAGTGTAGAAGCCAAATCGCATTAAACCTGCCTCTACGACTTTGAATAGAAGTAGGATGCGTGGCGTATTCCAAAGCGGGGTTGATCAATAATTTTATCATTTTTCCTTTTAATGCTTGAGCCACCTCCTCATCTAGAGTGTGATCCCAATGGTACACCAGGTTCACTGTAGGTTTGCAGTGTATGGAACCAACTTTGACGGCTAGTCCTTAGGGTATGTTACTAAAGTGTTCTCGCAATGGCGCTTGACATGAACACAACGAAATAGTCCAAAATCAATGATGGCATGATGTAGATTTGGTTCCTTAATCAATTTCAGGATCCTTTGGACATTCCCTGATACATTCATGGATTGGATATACGGACGCAGATAAAGAAGGCACTGTAACGAGCATCGATTCAAGGCCGACCGCTATATATCCGTACGTTTGATAAAATAAGTTCTATGGTTTCCATAGAAAGGCTGGATACATGTTTATCCATTAGGTATGTAACCTATATCATCTTTCATTGCACAGGAATCCAACACTACCATCTAATGATGACATAAAAGACTGTCTCTATCTTGACTATTCATCTTCTGATCAGGAGGCTTACCAAATAGCAGACTGTCGAAGCAAACTTACGTTTATCTGCCAGAAACGTAGTAGTAAGTTCATTTTACATTCTTTGATCTAGTCAGTATCTGTGCAAACCTTCTCATCATTATTTGGATTTGCTGGCATATTATTGGTTCTTGGAGCGATTCATTCAGGAGACGGAAGAACTGGTGTCCCCCAAGGGGTCCGTCGCGCGGCAAAGGACGGGTCCCAGCGCGTGTTTGCGATATGAGACGTAGTATGGTACACTTTATTTAAGCTGACGCTTAACCGCTATAATGCGCTGCGACTCGTCCTTTGCCGCGCGACGGGCCTCTTGGGGAACAGCGGAAGAGCCGCTTCAAGAGAAGCTCACTATGCAGTCCTGCAGGTTGACCAAAAGTGAATTTTTTCTTCATTTTTTCTCAAACAACCAAGCTTTTGCCGCTTCGTGGAAGATAGTCTGCAGCTCCATCACAGAATCAGCGCCAATTCCTGCACTGGCACTACTGATTTGGAAACGACAAGCAACCAACATCCTCGTGTTGAAGACTATCTTCCAGCCATAACCTTTGCAGAAGCTGTGACAGATATGTGTAAAGAGCGGGAGCGAGCGTTTACCAGCCTCTACGCACGTTCAGCGATAATTGTTCCAAATAATCCTTCACCTTTTCACGCCTCATAGTACTCTTCATTTTTCTTAAGATTGGTCGACGGTTTTGGCCGGACCTCAACACCAGCGTGTTCGTAAAGGATCAACTGTTGTGGCGGCGGACTATACTATTTGGCTCCTGATTCTGGTGGCTCTTATTCTCATCGCGATAATTCTATGTATTCTATGTCAAGGTGTGGTAGGAGCCTATTCTGAAAGAAATGAATCTATGAATTTTTACAGTCAACAGCACATTTTAGCGTGTTTCAAGCAACGGGACCGAAATCGAGTACACACTGCGGAGAGTAGCCGACTTGTTCGAGGTCTTGACGGCCAAATTACGCAGCCAGGTACAGCTGCAGCAAAAATTCATCAAACTTCTCCAGTCGGCTATCACGGAGGTCTAATATTTTTCTCCATTCATATTCAAAATGTTTATACCCTCTGAGGCTTCAAAATCTATAATATTCATCAAAAACAGAGTCGAAAGTATTCCAAAGAAAATTCCAAAAGAGTTTGTTCTTGAAGCGGAGATGTTTTGATGATTATCACCTTATTTTGATCTCGAATACCATTTTTTGAAAATTTTACCTAGCTTACCCCCCCCCCTTTCTTCTACACACCTGATATGTGGAACTACCACTCCTGAGGTGATTTTAAGCAAAAACTGCTCAATACCCGCCCGTGCCCTTGAATACATATTGCTGGGCCACTGTATCAGACGATACAACCATCCCTTCTCAGATAGCCATCAGCTACCGTGAGCGATTAAAAAGTTGCATCTGTGTACGGTGATAAGTTTACTGTTTGCTTGCACTACGCCCAACCTTTTAGGTATACAGCTCATTTTATGTGGCTTTAATAACTTGCAAGGAATCAGCTTAGGCCAACAACTCCAGTTCAAAGTGCTGGGGTAAGAACGGTGGATAAGGAAATTCTAAGACGAGGATTGCAACCGAAAAAGGTAGAGCGAACTGCCGAGTAGCCCTAAGACAAAGAATCACTTTTGCTTCCTTGAAACGAGGGAGGGATGTTCCGGACGAGTTGTCTGAACTTGCTGGCTCCTTTAACCGGTATGTGCTTGAATTAGCCGTTATGCCGCAAACAACGTTGCTAGTCATGATATGCCGCAGGACACCTCGCCCATTAGCCCTCAGCTGTCATCAGCTCATTTTGTAAGACATTAGCGCCATTGCCTCTTTCGAGCCAAGACAACGGCACAACTGTGATATCGCGGGCTGCTCTATCCTACCCGCAGAATAGATTGCCCGAAACTACCTTATCTTATCTAGGGTCTGAGCATGTAGTGTATGCTAGTTTTGTTGGCATCATGTCGTCTACTATCACGATCATTTATTTATTACCGCATAGAACTTTTTCGCGCAAACCGACCCAGCGGCGAAAAAATGTCAAATCGCGATTTTGAAAATGCAGAAGCTTCGTATTTCAAACTACAATGTGATAATTAATCATAACGACATCATACAAAGAATATTTATTTCAGCAGTTTCGGCAGTTATCGTTCAGTTAAACATCAAATGTGACCATCCATCTATGAAATGCGTTAAGCTGCATGATTTTCATCCAATGTACGCGTATACGCCAAGTCGCTTTATATTTTTTATGAACCCTTCGCACACGGCACCCACCGCTGGGTGCCACTTGGTAGATCCCGTGGGACAATGGCATCCACCGATGGGTTCCACCTTACAATTTACTTCTTTGCTCATTCAAAGCATTTTTAGCACCCTTATAATCATAAGCAAGCTTCATAATATCTATGGCGACCACGGCTAGCAGGAATGTTCATTAAGAGTTAGTTTATATAAAATTTTAGAATGTGGCATTTACCTCCTCAGCATAATTATTGGACTTTTTATTGGGCTGTAGAATAAATACTACTCAGGATTACTTCGTTTCATGGCTCTAAGATACGGGAAGGAGTTTGAAATGTATGGGAAATTCCTCTGGATACATCAACTTTTCGGGGTTTTGCCTTCCTTCCTTCAAAATCCGACTTCCCCCTTCAAATTTTCAATTCTTTCTCCAACAATTTATGACAAAAAAAACGAAACTTAAAACTGTAGCTATATTCAGTGTGCTGCTAAAGTCGATAGAAAAATTGTTTTAGTGGACAATTTTCCCTAATTTAGAGCGTGAGTTGAGCGCGCCAAAAAGGGGCGTGGTCCCACGAGCCCGCTGAAAATCCTCATCCAGAGGGGTAAAAGATGCAGATGTTGTGTAAACTTTTATTAGAAGTGTAATGTTGTCGGAATCTTACGCAATATTGTTTTTTTTTCGATATACACAGCCTCCTCTTTAGAAAGCGAGAAAGTGTCAGGTGCGGACCAAACATCACAACTGACGACGGCTTCCAAGTAAATCTGATTAGAAGTTGTTCGTAGTGATAGCTGATTTCTAGCAAATGATGGTTGTAATTAATGACAATCGATAGATTATAACTGCAACAGGCTAAACATTGCATTGGCGAAACTTTCTCGCTTTCTGAAGGGGAGGGTACTTATATGTGCTGGTGACTGCAACATACACTGCGACGCATAATTATTGTTCCACCTACAAACTTCCCTAAAGCTTGAACCTGGGAATGTTTTTGGAAAAGGCTCTACAGATAACTTGTGACACATATAAACGCGAATCTGAATATTAACACGGAAACCCAGTTTGAGGAAGCAACAATTTTTTTAACCTTATTTTTTTCGAAAATATCCGCTTTAGCTTCTCCGCTGCATTTTGCTTTTACCCAATCAAAATCTGGAATTATTATCCATTCAAGTTCTTTAGCTTATAGCAAAAGTAAAACCGCTGTCATCACACTTAAGTAGAAGTGAAATCCTAGCAAAAGAGGCGCAGGAATTGTCAAAGTGTCAGCTCCGCTGGAATTCGTTGGGGTGACTTCATAACGAACAAATTTCTCAAGGATGCTACAGGATATAACTGGGAGAAACCCTACTATCCGACTGAGATAGGCGCCGTATCGTGAGAAAATGATATCCAGCTGGGTACCGAATATAGGTGGAACTATAATTATGCGTCGCAGTGTATTTTTCAAATAAGATTTTCACGTGAATCTCTATGCATAGCACAACTCCACTCTGGAATTGTTTGAAATAAAATAAAAAGTGCCCGAATTCAAAAGATTCCTTCTCCTCCAGTCAAGTCAATCTGCAAAACAGCGGCGTATTGTTGCAGCGGTAAATTCACGTCTGTTAGAACGGCATTTACAAGGATTTCACATGTCGTACGCATTATACGAAAAAAATCAAAATGTTTTCAGGTTCCGAGCAGGTGGCCAACCAAACTGCAGCTCAGTTCCCTTCAGTGCAGACCGTCACGCATGAGAATCAAGCAGAAGTTTCGTCTTCCGCACCTCCTAAACTTGCCAATGAGGCAGACTTGCGACGTACGGATATTCGCTACAATGTTGATGAGGAACAGTTACATCCACCTGACGTAAGAATCTCGTCAGAACAAGCTGCACGAGCATTACCTCCTCTTTCGATACGGGAGACTACACTGCAAAGCATGAACAGGTTAGCCGTTTCAGAGTGTTTCACAAGGGAGTAGATTACCCATTTTCTAATTTTCTCTTCTTCACCGCTACCATCGCGTAGCACCTCCTGAAGAAAATTTTGCCTCAACGCCCCTTTGAATCGCACAATCTCTTAGAGGTCTATCAGTGACATTTGAGTCGCTCAAAGCGAGGGAATAAGATAAAGAGTATGCACAGCATGGAAGTACATGCACCAGTGGAAGCAGCAGCCTGGAGCCGATGAAATGAAGATGCGGGCTTCTCGTGGAGAAAGGCGCGCTAGGGTACACGCCAGAAGGCCCGTCGCGCGGCACGAAGGCAAAGTCGGCGGACGAGTCGCGCGCGTACTATAGGGATTCCGCGTCCAGTTAAATAGAGTGTCCCACTGCACCTCCTACATCGCACACCACGTGCTGCAACTCGTTCGCCGACTCTGCCTTCTTGCCGCGCGACGGCCTTCCTGGTGATACCCGGCGCGCACTTGCGCCCTCGCCAGTCATTGCTGAGCTCCGCTTCTGCCTGTCCTATGCCCATTAGTGTAATGCCAGCAGCACCATTGTTCGTCTATTAGTTTGATGAGGTATTGCACTTCGATCACCGTATCCTGTAGTTCTCCCATGGAATGGGTTGCCAATCAAAACATGGTCTTTGCTGGCATGATGATGCGTATCGGTTTACCTTGTGCAACGACCTTTTTGTTGGTCGCTAGCTCATTAGAGTCCAACGGGAAAAGAATGGGGTCCCAATTTGCGCATTCTTGACGGATTTCTTTGCTTTTTTTTGCTACATTGGCATTATTCAGGATCCCCACTTTATGAATCCAATCCAACCCTACTTTATTCTCTTGCTTTAAAGGCAACGTCCAGGATTGAAATGATGGATCATTGCACTTGTAACAGAAAGTGACAGAGTGTAACGCTAATTATAAAAAACAGCAAAACGAGAACAAAGCGCACACAAGAGCGGAAATGTGGTGTTCCTCTCCAGTGGGGAGATGGTCAAGAGTCCCCCGCGCAGGGTCAACCCTATCGTTGTTACTCTTTGGAAATTTCTACGACCCCCCCCCCTTCATGGGTGATTTGATACGACCCTTCTTGTATGTGACACTCGTGTAGAGACAGTGTTTACCATCAATATTTATTTCTACGTAAGTCGTCAAAGATGAAACTTTAGCAAAATCCACGACAGATTTTCATCGCTGCTTCCAAACACGGAAAAATGATATACATTCAAAAATATCCGTGTACTCCGAAGGGTTGCCAAACTAGGAGATGAAATAAACTGAACCAGTGACCGGAATATTGATAGTATTACCTGATAAAAACTTATGAGAAGTCAGAAAAAATTATCGCTCCAATTGAAATGCTGAAATCCTTCACGTTCCTTGCAGCACAATTTTTACACCCTTCTTTCTAAGGCTATAACATCCTTCATATTCGAGCTTCTGCGCCGAAGTGATTTGATTTGAAAAATTCAAATTATTCTCTCTCCAACCATGGGTAGAAATTTTTCGAAAGCTAAATTATTAAAAACTTAGGACGTTGTTACTTTTTTCTGTGCAAGTGCGACTTTTTAACCTTTAAACGATCATAACCCTTCAAATTCATTCATTTGGGAAGCTGAACACGGTATGGCAAACTACAGGATTCAAGCTTCCTTGAAAGCTCTAAAAGGTCCTGAAAAGTCAGCAGTTCAAAAATTGGTCCCGTTGTTACTTTTTTGAGGGGTATTCTTTAAGTCATTTTCCCGAAAACGCGGGTTTTCTTAGGTTTCACTGCCAGTAACTTCTTGGAAGATCATTGTCATGTTTAACTTAGGATGTTCTAGAACTTTCGAGTATGCGCTTGCACTACATCCCTTGCCTTGGTGCGCGCCACGCCTCGGGCGACCTTCTATCGCTAATTTATTTGAAAGCCTGTTTAGAGGGAAGCGTGGCTTAAAGATGCTCTAGTATCAGTCATCTTACGAAAACGTAACGTACTGGCTATTATCCGATATTACCATGAATCCCACTGCCGGCCACCGAGAGTACGACCCCCCCCTCCAAGCTCAACTGAGTACGACCCCTCCGTTGCTACTCGTAACAACGTAGAGTTGACCCTGCCCCGCGACCGCCGCGCCAAAACTAGGCCACCGCGCGCGATGTCGCCGGTGTTTCTGCAATTTGTCGAGTTCAGGACCCCTCTCCAGACGATCTATACAACGCTTTCCTGTTCCCTCTGTCTAGGCCCCATTCCTACATTTGTTTCAGATTAGTCCTAGCAACTTGATACGTTCCAAGCTGGATATGGTACATGGCCGCCCCATGCGGTGACCAGCTTTCGCTTGCGCGGCGACCTCAGGGGGACTCTTGTCTCGCATCCCTCCAGTGACTGGGAAGGGCGTTTGGTGGTGGGCGGACCCTATAGTGAATTCTTCGCTTTGGAGCCCCTGCTTTGCTGTCGTGTCGTCAATTAGGTACCTGCTTTACGTTTGCGTTCTAGTTCATAGTTTTCGCGCAGAGCCTCAATTTCTTCCAAAATCCCGGACTTTGTATTAGAAGAGTCGTCCACGAGATTACTCATGATTCAATCTACTCTCGAAATTCCAACGCTTTAAAAAATTCTTTCAATGTGTCGCCTAATACGTGGCCGCCCCAGAACTCACTTTTTTCCTTGGGTTCCCATGTTTCCGCCTGACCTACCCTTGATCGTCCATAGAGTATGGTTCCCGTGAGTTTGTTTCTCTTCGAAAACTGAATCTTGCGCGAAACTTTCTACGTTGTCTTCACCATCTGTCTGATAACAACTGGCATATCCATAATGAGGATGAGTACCAGAATCTCCAGAGACTTTGATCCCTTTTTGACACTTAACGCTATCCATTATCTGAATTTATCGTTACAGGGAAGAGAGTTTTCTACGTAGCAAACGTACTAACGAGTTGTTCGATCGACCGAAAATGGATGTTCTCAAAAACGTGTCAGCAATTTCACTGGATGAGTTCTGGAGTAACGCAAAGGACTGACTAAGGTTATTAGTGTACATTTCATGAAAATAAGGATAAAGCACTTGCCGTTGATCAATCCCTTTTTGGGATGAGGCACGCATTCTACTTCCATTTGTACATTCGTAGTGGCGTTTGAATGCGATGTGGCATGTACAATGACTTGCGGGGGGCCAGCCGATGTACAAGTCAGTGTTTTTTATCCTCCCAGACGAGTCTGGTACCAATTCACAGACCCCGGAGGGATGGAAGGCTTGGTGGGCCCGGGCGACTCACGACCCAGGATTTGATCCCCGGACCGCTCGCGTGGTAAGCGCGCCACTTGCCGCTACACCAGTTCCACCCATACATTTCACAGTACTGCAGAAAATTTGGGAAATTTCCAGACCGATGCCTTCTGTTTATGGGTGAAAAGGAGGAGAGTAGTAGCAGGGCACTTCATAGTGCTTTGCTTTTCTAACGATAACAAATAAAGATAAGAGCATTGATTTTGACTCATTCAAAGTAAATTTTTTGATAAGTGGCTGAATTCGCCTCAAATAGAGCGAGCACATGTGCAGTATGTGTAACCTTGTCCAATGCCTATCTAAATACTCACCTCAAATGAGACCGTTGTCTGTCGGCATTACTCCTCAGCTTCACCCTTAGAGCAGAATAAAAGATCCCGCTTTTCCAGTACAATATTTTACTTCCCTTTATGAATCTTATCCAAATATTACAACAGTGGCATTTGGAAATTTTAAGGCCTGACAAGAATTGCCAAGTGTCCAGTTTTAAGATGATTTTCTGACATTAAGGTTCTGCTGTCTTTAGGGTGCAAATCACTTCCTACCACACAGGCGATTTTAATCGTTTCTAAATATTAGCGTTCAAATGCTGAAAACATCTATACGATAGAAATATTAGGTTGTCTTATGTATAGTGTCGCTTTTTGAACCAGAAAATTTCCTTCTAAATCCTCCCACTTACGTCATGTCATATACTATTCGAAATCGAATTGTCTGCTCTACAAGATGCTATGTTCTTCTTCCACCTCTGTTTCAGGTCTAATTTTAGGCCTCCGAAATGGGAGGTTCAGCCGACGAAAATTGACCAAACCGACAACTATCTCTAACTTTGTCTTTCCTTGAGAGAAATCAATCAATGATGTACCCTCTACTTATACATGACCTCTTCTGAGCATTCCACTATTACGTTTTCCAACAAGTCGCGTCACTCCTTTTCCAGACCTGGTTTTTCAAGCAGAACTCGACGGTCGAGCACCATTTGTTGGGATCGGATCGAAATTTTTTTACGGCCGAGAGATTCAAGAACTAGTAGGATTTCAAGAACAAGTCATGACTAAGTTAGGAATGTACGTCTGATTGATTTTCTCATCTTCTTAGGGAATTTTTTTTTGTAAGTAATGCGATCACTTTCGTGGACAAAATACCTAACCGCGCGAACCTAAAATTCGAACTAATTCACAACAAACATAAAAACAAAACAAATGAGCCAATAGAGCAGAAGAAGGGCTCACAAAAGAGGAAGTCACTTGATATGAAACAACGGACGTTTACGAGAACAACTTCAATTTGAAATCTGCTATGGCTTATCGGTCAGCCAATTTGAGAAGAAATCGGTAAAGCTTTTTCGGCAACCTAAGCGCGGAATGTTCAGAAGAGGTCATGAGTAAGTAGAGGTTACATCATTGATTGATTTCTCACCAGGGAAGATAAAGTTAGAGCTGTGTAGTTGTCGGTTTGACGATTTTTCCTCGACCGCACCTCCTATTTTGCGGGTCTAAATTTTAGGACTCCTGCAACGGATGTGGGAGGAAAACACAGCATCTTGTAGTGCAGGCAATTCTCTTTCGAATATTACATGGAATGGTGTAATAGCATAAGGCTTCAGAAGAACATTTTTCGTTTGAAAAAAAGCGACACTACTTATGAGACAACAATACTAAAACAGTTAGGACTCAATGCGGAAACTATGAAACTTCAGTTGTCTCGAATAATTACAGAATGGCTCAAGACTGAAGTCGAACTCTTTTCGCCTAGCCAGAAAAACCCCGAAACATTTAAAAATTGGTTTTCCACTCTAGCATCCGAAAATGTGATTAGATACAGGTCTCTGTTGGTAGAATGGAATGCGCTCTTCAATATTTAGTTGGGTGCATTCGGTTTCAATTGAGCACGGTGTGATTATTCCGTTTTAAGTATAGAGGGAGTGTGATTCCCACCCCCTCTTGTATACATTTCCAAATAGAACACTACCATTTTCAATATAGTCGGGGAAATCAATTTTGCAGAGTATTGAACTATGAATTTTTCAGGACTGGGATGCCTACGAACGTTATTGTGACTATGCTAATCGAACATCTGAAGGTAATGCCATTATGGTGCTTCATGTGTTCCCCCCCCCCTTTCTTCCGGATGAATGTGACTTTGATTCTTGACAATGAAATATTCATAGATTTTCAATGGCCAGACCTGGCCAGATCCATACGTCGCAGTAATTTCCAGAAAACTATTGGCCGTCCCTCAAAAAAAATTTCAAGTTCGTACAATATAACGTGCATTCCTCATCTAGTCGTGCCTTTAAATTGTGAATACCTATGGCCACCCAGTTCTGATTTTTGTTTCTATTTGCATTTACCGACTGTTGTTCTAACAATAAGAGAATGCTCATTGTCGATATGCTGCACACATTACTTTTTCTAGATGAGGGACTGCGCTAAGATCATTTTTTGGTGTCCCGGAATACTGTTGTAGACGTTTTCGCAGCCAATTAGTCTGCATTGCTCGATTCTTAGTCCTAAAAAATAGGGAAAAAATCCACGCTAACATCAGAATGCGGTGTAATGAGCGGAGGTGTAACGGCAATGGCGAAATATCTGACTAGGGAAGGTCAAGAAGCCAGCCCGGCCATTTGCAATGAGTTGTGCATCGTTGACATCGTTGCCTTTTGGAGACGTTCAGCCCAGAGTTACTTTCCATATCTGCTAAATGATGTTTTGAACGAACAACGGGTGTGTTTACCCCGCACTGATTTGTATGCTACCTTCAGCGAAAGTGCACCTGATCGCTTGCAAACTCTCTATACATGCATATAAAGGCAAGCATTAATGCAGCTATGGTGTCAAAAGTCGTTTCAGCCACGTTGCCGGAAAGATCATACGAGGTCACTTCAAGGCAAAGTTCGGGCTCAGACCCACTTAATGAGCCCTTACGGTGGCTAGAAGCGCTAGGTACGCAAGTGTAGTGGTCGCGTCACTTCCCTACTTCGAAAAGCGTTACTTCGACGCTAGGCGCTAGGAGCTTTGACACACTCCACCTGTTGTGACACGCTCCGCCCACCGCTCGATATCTTGTCTGCGTCGCTAATTTGATCTGCTATGCCGTCTCTACTCGTACTTCTCTAGTGCTCTCCGCCTCACATTACCTCTCATCTCCGCGCCAGCCTTTTAAACTTCTCCGCAGCGTAGAGCAGAAGGCTCGTATTTCCTGAGCAGTTCTTGATTTTTCTCTCCTTTTTTCTCCACTGGCGGTCCAATTACCTCATTTTAATCCTGTATCTTGCCTTCAACATTAAGTCGATCAAACGACCTCCACAATCTCCTTGCTGGGAGCAGTGATTACCACTACACAGTGCCGCTTCATAACTCCATTCAAAGCATCGTTCAGCAGATATAAAAAGCAGTTGTGACCAGGAGAGGATGTTAGGTCGAAGCCGCAGTTTGAGGTGAGATGTACACCCTTCTATGTGTCTCTGAGCGCTGATTAAAAATCTGTTCACGGCGGGCATCAGTGAACAAAGTCATCGAGTGATTGGCAGAAGCACTGTGTTCCCCTATTATCGATGATGCGATAGGAGATACTTGGCCTGCACAGATCGCGGCTCGATGGTCGAGAGGTAAGTCAAGCTTCGTTGTGAAGATAAAACCTCATTTCCCTCGCGTGTTCGAGTTTTCGCATTTTTCGGAAATCTGTGTATTTAAAAAGGAATTTCGCTTGACCTAAGAATTTTACCTTGGCAAGAACCAGTTTTTCACAGAAAATACCATACATACCATTACACCACCTCATCGAGGCTGGATCGAAATCTCTGATTCAGCTGAAAATTGTGCGCGGGGTCTATTCGTTCTCCTGCAAACGAATATTGTATTGTTCTTAGCGGCATTACCGTTTGGCGATAGTTTGTCCACTTTCTTCTGCCAATTCCGTCAGTAGGTATAGTCGGATGGCTCTGCCGTCAGAAACAATGCATTATTCGTTTCCAGAAGGACTAGCGACCTCCTGGAATAAATTCTCAGCTGAATCTGAGATTCTGACCCATTTCGAACGGGTGGTGTATGTAGTGTCGGAATTGCGATAGGAACTTGTGACAAGGACGTCCATCGATAGCAATATCAAAAGAGGCGTCATATTCATGGTCTGAACCTTCAGCTACCCTGTGAAGTACAGGGATGATAATTCCCGACCTCCCACTTGGCTGTAATGGTGTGTATGTCGTAGGAACTAGCCACCAGATGAGGTCGTGATAAAATCCCCGAAATGCTTTCATTTTCTCAGAAAACTGGTTTTTGCTACGATAACCTGCCCAAATCGTGCAAGACTGTTCCAAAACGCATAGAGAAGATTTTTGAAATAAATGCAATAATTCAGAGATGCGAAAGAAATGACCTCCGACCTTTACAACGCAAGCTTGACTTCCTTACCTCGGCCATGCCGCAACCTGGGCAGACCAGTCCTCTTGACCCTGATGATAATATGAGTAATATCGTGCTTCTTTCCACATAATCCGCCAATCTACATTATTGCTTACTGACGCCCACACTTGAAAGATAGATTTTAATCAGCACTCAAAAACGCATTGGAGAGTACATATCCAAACCCAAACGGTCACTTCGACCTATCATCCTTCCCTGCTGTGCTCGTGTCTCAACGCGAATGGAATGGTGCCCAACCCATGTCGAAGGACTTGTATTTGTTGACCTTTTCTGGTAGCAACTTACACGGATCGTCTGAGTGAGGTTGCGATCGCTAACAAATGATGAAGGCAGTGGAAGTTTTAGGGGCAGTTTTTATGTGTTTGCGGTATCTCTTGAAACGCATTGATTATCATTTCCATTACCCAAACTGCATTAAGTTTTATTATTTGAATAACTGCCATTGTACCCTCGATGTTTTGAGCATCATCTCACGATATTTCTTACAAATCGGTGGTACAAAAAATATCCTATAATATTTTGATACTGCTGATATCGTGTCAAATAGTATTTTTCTCTGTGTCCAAATTATTCATTTAAATAGTCTCTGTCAATATTAGCAAAGTTGTGCTCGAGATAATATAAAGTACCATATTTTGGAATTGCATTTTGTATTTCTGTCCTCTGTTAATCGGGCAAATCGACTCAACTCCACCTTCAAGGAGCACTCCCGTTGCTTACCTATCCTTACTTGCGTGAGAAAAAGAAAAGAAGAAAGAACAACCAATCCTCATGGAACCGACTTCGTTGCCCTGAGAAGTTGGAGAACTTGCATATGAGAGCTTCTGCACAACTGCAGCTCCGTTGCCTTAGAGGTCACCTCAATACCTCAACTCGATTTTGGCCTATGTATGATGGATTTTCTCCCGCACCGATACTTGGCGTGATGTGAAGGTGCGAGTGGGACATTTGGCGGATTAGCAGCTTTTGATGGCAGAACTGAAGCCGGCTTTTTCGAAGGAGGTGGTACTGTTGCAGCTCACTGTTTTCATGATGTGAAGCAATAAAGACAGAGTATTTTGTTTATTTAAGCGAAACTTTGCATAAGGCACTCGTGAGAAAACAATACAGCCGACATCACTGATTGTGTGCCTGATTGGTTTTATCATCTCCTAGAGGATTTTTTAAGTAATTTGGTCATCATTGTGGACTGGACACCTTGTCACGTAGATCTGAAGTCCGGTTTATGAAGAAAATAAATATACGGTCGTCTAGAGCAAGAAGCTTACGAACGATATACGATTTGATATGGAACAATTGCGTTTTATAGAAAAAATTTCAATTCAGAGACCGTTATGGCTTAGCGGTGAACCAGAAGAACCATACTCAAACACATGAAAAGGCTATTCGACAACCTAATAACGGAATGTTCAGAAGATATCGTGTCTAAGTGGAGGGTACATCACTGCTTGATGTTCCCGGGGTATTGTTGAATAAGAGCTAGTTCTCATTTCGGCAAATTATTGCCGACTGAGCATCCCAATTTACACACCTGAAACTGAATGCGTTTGCAAGGTATGTTTAAAGGAAACATAACTTTCTGTAGAGCAGGCAAATGCATTCCGAATGATATGTGGCATGATGTACATATTTAAAAGCATGGAATTTCAGCAGGAAACTCTTCTTTAGAAAGCTCATGGTGGGACAACCTAACGCATGCATGGTAACGAGGGTGGCAAGGAGTTCGGCGTAGATGACACGTAATATCAGCAGCGTCAAAAATTGCATAATTGCTATTATTTTTGAGATCGAAAATGAGAAGGCGAAACAGTCGCTCATGATCATATGAGGTTGAGAACGGACTACCAACACCCGATGGGAGGAAAATAAGTAGGAAGAGAGTTCTGGAGTTGCTTTACTTTGTTAATTGCTGTTTTTGACCGCAGTTCGCCTTGCGAATGTTTCACAAGAATGCTGGGTTGTGAACAATATTTTCGCCCCACACGGGGCTCGAACCCGCACCTCTAGCTCACCGGGCAAGTGCGCTACAAGTCACGTTACCGGGCCACCATTTCGTTCCAACTCAGGTTTCATGATATACTTACCATAGCTTCTCAGCACTCACACGTATAATGTGTTGAGCAGTACGTGAAAGCATGTCGGCCGTAAATTTCGTTTTTTTTTTCATAACAACCCGAACTTTAGATCTACGTGACAAGGTGTACAGTCCACAACGATGACCAAATTAGTCTAAAGAAATCATTTAGGAGATGATGAAATTAATCAGACACACATTCAGACTTGTTCTTGAGATTCCAGTACCTTTGAGGCCTCTGCTGTGAAAATTTTTGAGGTTTAGATTAGACGCGATACTGCTTTACCATCTTTTACTGACAGAAGATTCAAACGTAAAGGAATCCTCCTCACGCAGAAAGAGCTCCGCCTCCATTACCACAGAAAACGATACCCTAAAGGAATCTCCCACGGAAAGAGTGATCATTTTGTCTTGTGTGTAGGATTAGTATTATCGAAACTAACGCTTATGTTCCGTTCTTTCTGCTATGCTCATGAGGCTAGGGGCCTGAGGGGTATCGTTTTTCTGTGTAATAGAAAATGTGGTAATGGAGGCGGAGTGTTTTCCGCGGAAGATTCCTTTAAGAATTGATGACGCGACTATTTGGCAAGCCTTGTAACAGAATTTTGGTTGTTTCTCATGTTGGCTCCTAGGGGAAACTAGAGTTAGAGCTAGTTGTCGGTTTGCCTAATCTTCAACGGCCGAACCTCGCACTTTGCAGGCCGAAAGGCACTGTGCAGTGATTGTACAGGGTGTCCCAAAATTACATGCGCCAAACTTCAAAATTTCACTGGAAAATGTGTATCGATTTTCATTTTTTTGCGCTGCTAATTATTTGTGCAAAGAGATTCTCTTGTGAACTGCATTGTTATTGGGGTAAAACTGTCAGTATCCCCGAGATGGCAAGAGGTGATCCAATGCGACCTGCGATCAGTCGCGGGCATGAGGAAGGGCCTGCATCGAAGAACATCGCTCGATTTCTTCTCTTTCCCCTCGAGACACCACAGATGGTCATCAAACGATGCAGGGAAATGTGATCATTTATTAACATGATTGGGCGACTAAGAAGGGTCAGCCCTTCCTTAGATAGAGTGATTAAAGTGGTTGCTCAGCAATTCACGGTCTCTACCAGAAGGATGACGAGGCCTTTGAATGTATCGAAGTTATGGGTGAGGCGCATTGTCAAGGGAGCACCATTGCCGGTTCTCTCATAGCAGAACTGCCATTTTATTCTGTACATCAACAAGCTGCAGGGAGACCAATAAGTTGGAAGGTCACTAGTGCGCTGCACTGCGACACGCAACTCTCGATCGTTTTTTCTGCCGAGTAAATGCTTGCTGTGGAGCCGGTGTTAAGTTGTCCAAACTATCACATTCTTAGTGGAAATATCGGGAGTACCATCTCACGCCGAAAGGTTGCTGGAAGAACAGCTAACCCGACATCTGCAAAGCTTTGCAGGTGAGTCGCGGCTAGGGGTGAGACCCCATTGAATTTTGCCGATTCATGTGTGAAGATCAGCAAGGACGTGCATACTGTGGAAGGTATTGGAGTCTAAGTCCAACTCCCATCTTGGGAGCAAGCCGTGGTGTTTCCAGCGGGATAGCGCCACAGCCCACGGAGCTCAACTCGTTTAAGGCAGGTGCGAGGTGTGTGATGGCCAAGTTCGCTGCTGCAAGGAATAGACTTCTTGCTCGTGCAATCTAAATCATTGAACTCTCAGTTATTCTGTAATTAAGAGCAAGGCATGTCGAGCTCGTCATACGAGTCTGCAATTGTTGTAAGGTGCACCAAAGGAAGGCCTGTGAAGAATTGGATGAGGAACACCCGCGTGCAACGAGGGAAGGGTGCAAGAAGAGATTCTGGGTCTGTATTCGAGCATGTTTAGGACATTTTGAGATCTGGTTGTTGCGTGTTGTTGTGCACGATGTTAGCATAATTATGCTTAGATTCAATGGCCATTCTGTGTCCAGAAGTTTGAATGGCATTGCAATGAATAGGCGCAAGTAATTTTGGGACACCCTATAGAAACAAAACAGAAAGTTTCGTAGAGCAGAGAAATCACTGGTGAATGAGTTATTTAAACCTGAAAATTTAGCGAAAAGTTTCCCATATGCAAAAAAAGCGATACTACTTCTAGCACAACCTAATATCTTTCCGTAATGAAGGCATAACAGTATTAATGGGTCTAGGAAATTAACTGAGTTCGTGGTCAATCACTAATTCGCAACCCAACAACATTCTGTATTCACAAAAAAAATTCTGCGCGTGTAGAACACTTCCTAAACCAGTTTGACCCTGTAGGAACAACTTAATAGTGAGAAATGATTTACTCAACTACATTTGTATGAATAAGTATATTTGGCTCAACGTTTTCAAAGTGAACGCTTTTATACAACATCGTAAAAACCGATTACTGATTCACTAGAATCAGGATAGATAGGAGGGTGTGTACAAGGCAACATTATGTGACGAAAGAACGATCGATTCCGATGGAGGCCAAGAAACCTCTTCCAGTTATTAAGCAGTTTTTTATTGAATGCAATTCGCCATTTGATCGATTCGCCGTTCCTCCTTCTCCTCTGAAAAGTGAACCAATCAGTAGATTATTCTCGAATCATACTATTGGATTGTTCCATATCTTATTACCCATTTTTCCATATCGTATCTTATCTTCCGAATTTCGACACATTCGTCTTTTTAATTTTTATTTATTCAAAAGTGTAGCTAATCAGCAACATAATCACCATCACGATCAATGACATGTAACCATTCATTAGGCAATGATTGGATTCCCTTCTCCCAGAAAGTGCGTGGCTGACGATCAAAGAAGTTGGAGAGGTCGCTTTTGACGTGATTGTGGTCCTTGAGTTTTTTTTTCTCGTAGATAATACTTCAGGACGCGGAAGCGATGGTAGGCTGATGGGGCAAGGTCTGGGCTATACACTGGGTGTGATACTGTCCTCCAGCCTATCTCCTCCAGAATGTGGCGAGCAGACTTTGCGGTATGGGATCGGGCGTTATCATGGAGAAGGCAGACATTGAGCCGTTTCGAACGCTTCTCTCGCACTGCTGCGGCTAACTTCCGGAGTTGCTCCAAGCAGACTTCGGCAGTGACTGTACTTCGTAGTCGAGCACTTCCCAACACAGAAATGCCCTGCCAATCCCAGAAAAACCGATAATATAATCTTCCGAGCATGGAGTTCGGGTTTCGGTTGAGATGGTGGCTCTTGACCGCGGGGCAGCCAGTAGGCGTTTCGCGTGTTGTTTTCATGGTGAACCCAGCACTCATATCCAGTGATGATTGACTCGAGAAAGTCCTGCCTGTTCGGTCTCAGGAGGAGACTTCCGCAGATGCTTACAAGGGCTGCTCTATCGTGGTCGGTTACTGCATTGACACCCAACGTGACCTCATTTTACGGTAGCCCATTCCATGCAGGTGGCGAAGGGTGGTACTACGGCCGCACGCGAGTGTCTGCTTCAAACCCCTGGTAGTAGATGTTGGATGGACTTCCAACACACGGTGCAGGGCTTCTTCATCAAAAGTGACTGAATGCCCGAAATGAGGTTTATCTTCACAGCTCTTATCACCCTCACGAAAACGAATGAATCACCGTCTCACTCTCCAATCTGTAGTAGTGCCCGGACCAAATGCAGTGTTGATCTTATCTACTGTCGTCTTTGCACTACGCCCCAGCTTATGCTCGTAAAGCAGAATCGAACGTAGCTGACGTTGATCCACTTTGACAGTAACTGAATCGTGGCGCAGAGAACCTTCTGTACCCTTTAGCTTAATTTGCGAAATATGTATGCCCGTTACATTTATTTTTTGCGCACATGCCCCATCTCTTCCAAAGTTTTTTGTATTCATTCTATAGGTCATACATTGCGTCCCATAATTATAACACCACCTAAGAATTTCCCAAAATCTCACAAATTTAGATGTTCTAGAAAAAGACTCCAATGTGGCAGTGTGACAAACACAGGTACGAAATCGCGCGAACATCATCTTCCAACTTAAGATCCCAGGAAATTTTTCCAATAATTTTTGTTCAGAAGGCCACTTGGCCAACGTCCCAAAATTATAACTCCACCTCATGTTTTTCTATGATTTTTCACATCCGTTTCGCCAAACATTCTTAATGTGCTAACATCCTACTTCTCAAGGAGAGAGTATGATAGAAAATGCTGTCAGACTTTTTAAAAGGTCAGGTCGTCGCAAGAACTACTAATTAGGCAATCGCACAAGATTTTGACCAAATTTACGAAGAGCTCGAAAAAATTTTTTCAGGGATTCCACATGATATGGAGTTGAGAAGAGCTCCAAAGGATCTCCCCTTGCTTTTCGGAAGAAACAAGGGCCGTGTTACAGAAGAAACAACCTTTTTTATGAAGCCGTGCTCTGCCATCAAATCTTCTTCGGAACTAAATGGCTCAACGGAACAATGTTTTTTGCTTGCGAATAAGTCCCAAGTTGATTCTCGAGTGGAAGATGAGGAAGGCATCATCTGTGGTAAGAAACCATGACGAAAATTGCGCCAATTTTCAGAGGAAGATGCAACGGAGCCGACTGTAGTAAGGATCGCTTTTGCTCGATATGTTTTAGCATTTGTTTGTTTTTCTTTTCGTTGCTTTTCTCATCCTTAGTAGCTCTTCTCTTCGCGTAGCACTACCAGGAGAAAGAAAATGCCGAAGAGAAAGACAGACAATCAGTAATGAATCGAAAGTAAGAGCGAACCTTAATACAGTCGGCTCGGATGCACCTTTCCGGAAAACTCAGCAAGAATTCCGCCATGGTTTCTTACCACAGATGATGCCTTCCACGTTTTCCACTCGAGGATCAACTTGGGACTTATTCGCAAGCAAAAAACAGTGTTCCACTGAGCCATTAAGTTAAGAAGAAGACTTGATGGCATTTGACGGTTTCATAAAAAAGGATGTTTCTTCTGTGACACGGCCTTTGTTTTACCGAAAAGCAAGGGGAGATCCTTTGGAGCTCTTCTCAACTCCATATCATTTGAATTCCCTGAAAAAATTCTCGAGCACCTCGTAAATTTTTTCAAAATCATTTGCGATTGCCTAATTAGTAGCTTTTGCGACGACCTGACCTTATAAAAAGTCAGACAGCATTTTCTATCATACTCTCCCCTTGAGAAGTAGGGTGTTAGCACATTAAAAAAGTTTGGCGAAACGGAAGTGAAAAATAATAGAAAAACATGAGGTTGAGTTATAATTTTGGGACGTTGGCCAAGTGGCCTTCTGAACAAAAATTATTAGAATGTTTGCAGGCGATTTCGTACCTGTATTTGTCACACTGCCACACTGGAGTCTTTTTCCAAAATATCTAAATTTGTAAGAATTTGGGAAATTCTTGGGTGGAGTTATAATTATGGGACGCAGTGTATAACCAAGAACCGCGTCGCTTACAGAATGGCCAAATATTCTTTAGCTAGGCTGAGGTTTTCTAGACCTTACTGAAATGTCTGTTCGACTCATTCCTTTTTTCTTTTCATTAGCATGAACAGGTAGATAAAAACGAGTAATGGAAGTGTATACAAGCTTATTCGTACGGCAAGATGTGTTTTTACGGACATGACCACGTCCAAAACAATTTTGAAACCACTAAAGCGAATGTAAGTAGAATTTACCAATTCATGGCCATAACACGCTTTTCCCGATCGAACTTTTACAATTGTACCTTCTCGTAACTTGACCACATCGAACTTCATCGGAAACATTTGGCCGCATTCGTGTTTTGCGTATTTATGGCTTAAAACCCATGAATTTGATGTGGGGCAGCGGCGCTAGCAAAATAGCTCTTGTCCCATGCGGTCAAAAAAGCCAAAACGCGGGATGTCGTCAACGTGTTACACTTATTTGACTACTACTTTGCCCAACGTTTTTAAAAATATATGATGGATGTTCAAACAAATACGACAATGAGTACTGGATATCTCGATCTCAACATCGTTAGCATCAAATATTATTAGACCGCTTATCCTGACATTTGGGGATTGCTTACAAACATCAATTCGGTTCTGCATTCCACCACGCGCATTAAATGGTAGTCAACGAAAATGGGCACCTATGCAACGGGTAGCCAAGCATTTCACAGAGAACGCTCCAAGTTTTCTACTTTCACCAAAGTCTACCGTGTCACGCGCGCGGTAACGTGCGGAGCTAAACTGGCTTGCCTATACTACTATTTACCAGTAAAATTTCGATGGAAAAAGTCTACAGTGTTGAAAACATTTGCAGCTACTTTCTCCACAGATTGCAGTTCTACACTTAATGTTGAAATCCTGAGTTCTAACCGCTTGAGCCAGTGGCGCTTTCACGTGTAGCTTGACTGAACAACCCACTCCTTGTCATCCAAGAAATCGGGTCAAATTAGATAAAGGCTTCAAATCAAAATGTTCAAGCAGAATCTCTCCGCCTTCGAAGCTGGTGGTCACTTAAATTACGGAATGCTTGATCGCCTTTATGGCGAAAGTGAGGAATGGCTATTGTGCTCTGGTAGCAACAGGGGAAGCTCTGCCGTTTTTGTGCCTTGCACTGGAGACTCTTTTGAAACAGGATGCATGTAGGAGGAGGACCAATTCATCTTAGAAGATCCGCTATAGTTTGACCCAATTAAGGGTATATTTACCTGAAATAATCTTGAAAAAAATGCTCACCATGTAGTCAATATAGGTACATCCGGTGGAAATCAAAAAACAATTCCACAAAAAGAGAAATCCAACAAATAAAAACAGTAAAATACTAATGAGGTAGCAGAAAGTCACAGCATTTCGTGCCAGGTCCTCTTGAGAACAAATGAAGGGCTGCAATGGAGCAAAAGGCAGTGACGATGAGCAGAAATTCTTAGATGATGATGTCTGAAAAAAATAGTGTTCAATGGAATGTTGTCTTCGTCATGATTCTGCACTTCTATACGTTGCATGTACATCCCATCATATTTAAAGGCAAGATTCGGGATAAAATGGGTATCTAAAAGTGTTCAGTCATGATACTAGAGGTGGGAGGTGATCTATGAAAGAGAAGGAAAGCAAACGAAATCACAGATTACGCTCCGTCCAGGAACCTCCCCGATTTCAGCCAAATTCTACCTTGGGATAGGGAAAAGGCGCATTGGACGAGTTTCGCGAGCCTAACTCTGGTTGCTCCAGCGCCATTGACACAGGGTCGTGGTGGGACCACTGCCTCAAATGCGCCCGCGCTCTTCAAGCAGCGCCACGTGGCAACGGACAGCGGAGGGTGGGGCTTGCGGACGAAGGTGTGAGTTGCAGGTCGGACGAGCTGCTTCTGCCTTTGCCGCGCACTTTCAAGCAGCAGAAGGGGTGCGACAACAACGCTCGTCCGCCGGCCTACTACCACCGGGATGGAAGAGGCGAGCGCGCCTAATCGTGGAGCGTACCTTTAATTGCTGTAATATTTTGACTAATTGTCGTTTCGTACCAAGCTTTTGATGATGGGAGCACAAGGGCTTCACTGTTCAACAACCCTGACAGCTTCTAATCAAGCACAGTAAAAATTGCAGTCAATTATTGTGGAAAGCATAATAGTGATGGACAGAGAAGATATCCATACTTTCGACGTCACACTTTTAGAAAAATTGACATTTTCGATTTTAGGAAAATACGTTACAGATCGTATTGCGCACCTCATTTTGTATCAACCACATGAATTTGGAAGGCTTCTTGGGTTTCACCCAATGAAGGGGGAGGGGCATGTGGTACGACATTTCATACTGCATAAGTAATCCACTTTTTCTTAGGGGAGGGAAGCGGAGTGGGTGTAAAGTTTAACCCTTTCGGCCCTGGCGGTGGCAATTGCCACCAACAAACTCAAATGGTTGCATTGCCGCTGAAACAGCATGGTTTTTCTAATCCTGCTAGAACTTGCTTCAGTCAACCTTCCCCTTCCTAGTTATGAGCTAAACCTGCCACTTCATTATGTGTTGCTGCTAGTATTACAAGGTACAAGTGCAGCAATGAATGGGCGGTGGCCCCCGCAACCGGCTAAGTATGTGTCACTTTTTTTAAACACTTGAAGTAGATCCAGCTAATCAAAATTATGACCTGCAATGTTATGCAAGATTATAAACTTTTTTCGGCGTAACTATGAAATTTCGAACTGTTTCGACATAAGCTTAAAAAACTAAGAAGGTGGGCCAATTTTCAAAGGTTCTTAGTTTCTTTGTTTATGATAAATTTCACCATAATGATATTTATATGCTCACAAGTAATAAACATTAGCTAGAAGAAAATTTTCTCCACGGGGAAAAATTCAGGTCTGAAAGGGTTAAACGAGATTGTTCACACACCCCGGGGTTTCCCTCCCTTGCAAAAATTGGAACTTCTGTAGTCGGCAATAATTGTCACAAAATAAAAATAATTGTACTTTTATTGGTCGTGCGCTACGTCAAGAATAAAGGAGTTTCCAAACGTTGGACTCAACTTTCCGCCGCTATTCTATGGACGCTAGCGCTAGAGAGTTTCTGGAAGAACACTTTCCCTGTCATACTTTCCAATCAAGCGCAATGCTGCAGAGGTACATTATTTAATATCGCTTCAGGTCTGCTTTGTCCACACTTTTTAGAAGAAACACGAGCATCACGAGCAATGAAAGAAACAAAAAATACAAAGAATATGAAATGGGTAACTTGCTAGGAATCGCTTTTGCTTCCTTCCCCAACACTGATTAAAAAAACGGCATTTCGCGGAAAAGCGTGCTTCTTTCCGTAGCAATGCAGCCAAATGGATCTAGTCATCTAATCTTTGTGCCAGTAACACGGCGTTCCTTTGCTCAACCGGAACAACGAACATCTCTTTGTTGTTTCTGTTTAACTTCCCCAACATGCCTGTAAGCGCTTATGCGCCTAGCGTGATGTTTAAGTCGTCCTGTTTAATAGGAACATTGTGACACGTACGCGTTACTGTGCGGAGCCAAACTGGTTTACTGGTATATAAAAACTGGTATATTCATATACACATATATGTAATATGAATATAATGATTATAAATAAATGAATTTAACCTAGAATGCTGTGAAATGTGCATGGACTTACCATGAAGATATGATCATAAGCAGTGTTAAAGCTGAATAGAATAATAGTAAGTGTAGCGCTTGTTAAGTAAAAAATGAAGAAAAAGAAATGTCGATGGTTATGAGATCCGACGCACTGATTTATCCATATGCAGTGGTGATCCATACCAACTATGCATCTGAAATGTACTTGTAAATGTATTGTGCATTGCTCGTACACTCCGATGCAAAGCTATACGACATACCCCAAATTTTAAGTTTCTGAAGTTGCGAGAAATTCAGCGCAAAAGAGGCCAATGCCATTTGATTCAGCGTATGAAGAAACCCACAACAGAGAATCTCCAAGCAGTTCTGTCAATTTCCAGAAATCTGGGGTCAAAAAAAAATGAAAAAAGGGCGTTGCAAAACTATACGACATAGCAGAAATTTTGACAACTTTTTTCCTAGCACTCCACAGTCATATTAGTATTGTAGATATGCAGGCCACGGATACGCCGTGCCCTGCATAGCACCTTGAGGAGCAGATATGACATGTTTGTTTTCAACCAATTTTTTGTATACCTCCACCTGGATCCGTGCGTAATCTTCGACTAGCATCTTTTGTAGGAGATGTAAGGAATTGTACCGATTATTCTAGGAACAAAGCTCACCGACAGAATAACAGCGCTGTACTGCTGAGTAGTATGCTGAAGATGACGATTCTGTATCGTGTATCGTAGCCGGTGGTATTCGAGCACATCGTCGTGCTCGGCAAACCTATTAGCTTCTCGTACAGATTGGATTTCGTGCCTTATTACCTAGAGGCCAAACAACTTATTTGGTGTGTGATATTGCAGGTAGTTTTTTGATGAAAAATGTTCCTCCCAGTGAGCCTGATGGATGAAACTAGTATTGGAATGATTTGGACAGGAAACCCATCCTCTAATCGAAAAGGAGCCTTATGCTGATACTGCACAACCTACAGTTGGCGTGACAAGATAGATGTGGTCTTTGCGATTCAACGAATAAGCTTCACCGACTGTCAGAAAGTGCTCACTCATTACGTGCTACCGTCTACGATGCAGAATTGCCATCATCGGCATGCTTCTCAGCACTACAACGCTGTTATCCATGTTGATAAGTCAACCTCGACTTGCTCTGTAGCCAACCATGTAGATTTACTCGGATGGTCCACTCGTTAGCGAGGTCTAAATTCAATGGAAAACCTGTGGGGCATCCAAGCTCGTAATCTTTAGTCCTAGAAAGTGGTACGATTCCATGCATCTCCTGCAAAAGACGCTACTTGAAGATTAGGCACGGATCCAGGAGGAGGCATAGAAAAATTCGTAGAAAACATGTCAGATTGGCTCCTCAAGGTGCTATGCAGGACACGGCGAATCCATGGCCTCCGTATCTACAACACAGTACTAATATGACTGTGGAGTGCTAGGGAAGATTTTTACTGAAGTGAAAAAATTGTCAAAATTTCTGTTATGTCGTATAGTTTTGCAACGGCCATTGTTTCTTTTTTTACCCTAGGTTTCTGGAGTGACAGAACTGCTTGGAGATTCTCTGTTGTAGGTTTCTTTACACGCCGAATCCAATGGCATCACCCATTTTTGTGCTAAGTTTCTCGTAACTTCAGAAGCTCACAGGGATCAACAAAACAGACACGATCCAACACAACAAAATAAAGAATGAACAGAAAACCACAACTATTCTTGGAGAATATTTGTAATAACCGCCCGTTCAAAGGAAGCCAGTGGGCCTTTGATGGTAGTGGCTTTCTGGTTGTCAAGTAAGCGAGAACAGCTATTATAGTGAAAAATTTCGTCTAATGGTTGTTTTTGGATTGGAAAAAGATAAATAGATTATAATACTAAAGCTAACCGGTCACACATAGCACAGTGATGAGTACGCTCGCCTTTGAAGAAATTACATTTCTCGCACCATCGATCACCTTGTTTCTGAAGTACAATGTCATTCTGAGGGAATGCATATTTAAGGAACTTATAAAACAAAGGATTTTAGTAATTTTTTTGTGAAGCAGGAGCAAACCTCCTTTACTTGCTCAAAGGTGTAAAGGGGTTATTTCTGCTGCGGAGTTCCGAATGCGCTAAACAACCTGTGCGCATGCACAAAAATTCGACAATGACGATCAGTAGTAAAAAAATGATAGAGTACTCAAGCCCTTCATTTAACCCTTTGACTACTGGTGGGACACATGTGTCCCACTTCGTAGTCAAAGACACTACCACAGTTCCAGGGAATATTGAGGCAGGAGGGCTCATTTGATGGCTGAACTGTGCACATATAGAAGCTTTCTAATTCCTACTATGTTCCAAGTCTTCAGAAAAGCTTGGCGAACGTGGCAGCTTTGAGTTTGCGGTAAATGGAGCTGGTACGCTGTGTGCCCGTTGGAAAGACTGCAAGGAGGTCCTGTAGTAACCAATTGTCGCGCTGACTACAACGCATTTGTTGCGCACAATGAAGGATGGATCGAAAAGAAGTTGAATGCCCTGAATCTGTCTCCTTCTACAGCAGCATAATGGGCGGAGTAGATCTGTCTGATCAGAATGTGCACTTTACGACTTCAATAGACGTTCCAGAAAATTGCTGCCAAGGTGTACTATAAACACTACAGGTGGCGGTTGTAAACGCATGGGTAATATATGAAATCCATCACGAGAAAACGAAGCTGATTAAATTCCTTGTTCCTTTTGCTCAGCAAATGATTTGCGCAGGAGAGGGAAGGACGGCTAACAGGCGCAAGCCCGGCATGGTGACGCCACCAAAAAATTTCAGGAGGATCATCAACGTTGGGGACCATGTGCCGCTACAGTCAAAAACGGGTCGGCGACGTAGATACTGCGCGATGTCAAAGAAAGAAACTCGTACAAAAATAATGTATGCTGCTTGCAAAGTGCCCTTGTGTATATCATGTTTTACTCCGTACCACTCATAGACCATATAATGTTGACCTTTTTCAAACTTTTTTTTGTAAAAGTTTTCGGGTCATTGAAGACTTTAATATTGTAAAAATGTAGTGGTGTGGTTGTAGAATTGTCAATTTATTGAACAAAAAAATCATCCGAGCGGAAACGGTGTTATGACAAGATGGGCCGCTAGCGCGCGCATGGTCCCTAGATCAAATCCCAGGTCACACCCAACGTACATCAGCCAAATTTCTATGGCTGGTTGCCTGTTGCTAGGAGGGGTAATTGCAACGCAGAACATATTTATAACTCTATTCTAAAAAATTCGCAGTCTAAGGGTTAATTGAGCAACACCAACTTGGAAGGAAACAACACTGAAAGGAAATCCATTAAGTTTTTCATTCCTCGTCTCGTTTTATAACTCCAATTTGAAATTATTCTTCATATGTACAAGCCTTGCAAGAAATCTGCAAGATTCCTCTACATTTCTTGAACCACATTCAACACATTGACCACAACGTGGGCCATAGCAAAGCTATCAACTAATATATTGAGCTGGCTCAAAAGTTCTAGCCACTTTTCTGGATCCCACGCCAAAATCTTAGTTAGCGATTTCCGGACATGTTAGATGCGAAGAGCGCATTGTGTGCCGTAATGTGCAACAGAATCATGCCTTCCCTAGTTGCTTTCTACGAACTCGAAATGAGAAAGAAATGAGCCATGCTTTCACATGTCGGCTTATGAAGTTCTAATAACCATAAGTCAGAAACCGGTCGAAGCTTGCAGTGAGAGTTGCATTGCAATGCATCTCCTTGTTTTTGCCCACCAGGGGGTGTCAAAATGGTTCGATCTCCTACGCCAAGGAGACTACTGCTGGAAGGAAATCCTTATCGCGAAATTCCCGCGATTTTCACTCTTTGATTTATTGATTGGGTGTTCAACCGACGATAAACCAAGGTGATCGTGATCGCGCGCCACAATACTGGTATAAAAGGATTGAGACAAGGCCGAGAGCCCAGTTCTCTCTAGTTCCTTTTCTTCAATATTTCGCGTGATTCTGGCTTTCACTGCAACATCGCGACCATCATGCGACACTGCGACCATGCGATTACAGCATCATTATTACTGTCTCAGTGTCATTATTATTGTCATCAGTATAGTCCCATTGTCTCATTATTACTATCGTCATTATTATTGTATTTAGCATGTTTGTTGTCACCTACTATGACTTTATTCTTCCCATTGTGACAAAGGTACTCCTTTGCGATATCATCCTTTGACTGATCAATACTTGTGTTTTGACCCTTTGTTGGTGTTCAAATCACTGTCCCGTTACTTATTCTGTTTCATTCTTGTTTATCACTTAGTGAACATTACCTAGGTTTGAGATTCTACAAGCCCGCATGACACGGCAAACACACAAGAGTTCATTCATCCCAACCTATTTCAATCCTGGTTTAGAAAAGGCAATTGCAGTCCGATTTGGACCTGCTGTACTTTCCCACTAAGGTCATCCCGTTATGTCACACGCTCTGTAACCACCAAACCCAAGCGTTCCAGGTTTCAGGCAAAATTGCAGAGGATTGAACAAAGAAATCCTTCCATCCTGTTTCTCCCTAAGGATGGCCGAACAACGCGCTGCGGCTTGTGAGGAGCACTGACTTTATGCAAAGCACCTGCAGGAGCATCAGTGGCCGTATGCGCAAAGGGGCAGAGAACTGTCAAAGTTAGCAAAAGGTCTTGGTGCATGTATAGTAAGCTGCTCGCGAATCAGCCACTGGAAACTTCGCGCTAGCTACAGCACTGTGCAAGGTCTCCTAGAAGTCAACGATTGGGATCGGTAGAGAAGCTGAAGAATACGACTAAAACCAAAAAAAGTAGGTCTAGTTAGAAAAAGTAGGTTTGCGACAACCGAGCACAGCGTGGTATCATTTTCGAATGATGGCGGCGAAAAGAGCCTGTACTTTCCCACTGTATGCCAAACGAGGTTTTTAAGACTGAATCTTTATTAACTGGCCTTACGTTTCGATCGGTTCGTCTCCTACATCATTCATACGCCCTTTGTTGGAAACTCAACATCAAATGCCAAGGTTTCAACAAAGGACGACATGGAGACTACTAAAAGTCCTATGTTCACACAATGGTTTTGCATGTACGTTGCAGTCCTCTATTGTGAGTCTGATCTTTCTGACATGAAATAATCAGTGTGTCAGCTCTAGCATTCCCTACTGCTTATCTTGCGTCAGCTAATTACAATTCAATGGATTGTAGTGCAAAGCGTTGAGCATTTAATTCGTAGAAGCAGTATTTTTACCCACTAGTGACAAAGGAAACAAGGCTACTCATGCCGTACGACCCCTTAATCTTGGCCAATCTTAGCTGATTCAATTTACTGTTGATCTAGACAAGATCACTCCACTAAAACTATTTTGTGACGTGATAGTGAACTCACCCCTGAGTTGCGCATCGGTGTGAGTTTCCTCGCTTTTCCATAATGAAAAACAATATTCACCAGCAGATAAACGCCGAAAGACATTATAAAGCCCACCAAAAGCGTAGACTTGTACCTGTAACAAAGAAGGGAAAAAAGATGTTAGTAGTAAAACAGCAGTAACTAACAAGAATCCCAAAAAGTTCAGCGCTTTCTCAAGGTTTTGTGGAAAGCTTTGGCCAAGCTACTAGGTCAGAAGGAACACTTTTTCACAAAGCAACACTTTTTTCATATTTCTGATTTTGATTTATCTTTTTTGTTTCCAACTCCTGACCGGTCTTATATCTACCATGAGTGCACACCATTTGTTTCTTGATGCTCCTTTGCCAAGAGCGCAGTGCGGGTCAAGAAACGAGGCGACCTCATTTTCGAGTTGGAGTTGATTTTCTAATTATTTCGTCTCGAAGATGAGAATTAAGGTCCATGATAGCTGGCAGCGATTCACAGCTCGACCAGAGGAATACGACGAAATAGGTAAGAAATTTTGCCGCAGCTCCAGAATTTCTTACCGGGCTCATTTCGGAACATCTCAATTTGCAATGTCGAAAGAAAGAAATATTGTACGAGGGCTCTTTACGAGCTGCCTCGGCCAGCTTCTGAAGTCCCGCAGGTTAGACCTCTAGGTACACAATGGTGTCCTTGGCAAGGAAGTTGTGGTTGAGCATCCTTAAGAGCCCTAGCTGTAATGGAGAGTGCGGGACGCTGCTGATTCCTTATAAAAATATCAAAAGATCGAAAGCGCTGGTAAAGGTGAAACACGCTGTAGAGGTAAACGACTTGCTTATTGAAGCTATTGCACATAGTATTGATCTTTGACACGAATCCATAGTTATGAAGACATTGTTCTAGCCAGTGACTCGTAGTATGGATTTACTAGTGGTCGAGGTTTTTCAAATTTTCTTGGATAACTACTGACTGCTGCGCTTATATCCACCTCGTGGATTAAAGCCTCGAGAATGCTCCACCATTTTTTATTCATAAGTGTTAACTATGAACTCTTCAGAAAAAAAGGATGATTTTAGAACGTGTTGCGGAACCTTCCTTCCAGTCTGATTCTAATCCTTTTAGAATTATACCGTACATTATGTCAGATATACAGGGTGGGCAAATTTACGGCACCACGACAAATGAGTCATAAAAAATCAATGTAGTCGAAAAATCCGAAATAAATAACACAGTCGTATTGATGGACGTGCATAGAACAGGGAACAATATTGCGCCTAGAAGTGGCCGCTTTCTGTGTTGATGCATAAACGAAGGCTTTCTAGAAAGTCCTTGACCTTGTAGTGTAAGTAGGAAGGAAGTGTTGTTTTTCTTCAAGCAAAAAATTTTAAGCTAAGATTCTATGCTTTAATATCGCCGCATATACCATTCGGAAGACAATTATCTGTTCAACAAAACAGCATGCTTGGCTTGTTGCAACATGTTGCTGCGCAACATGTTTCTTGAGGTAGCGTCCACTTTTGCAATTTCACCCAGCCAATCAGCTCGCTCTCTCGCTATTTGTTACAGCTATTACACCGATTATGCGAAATGCTCTCCGTGTCCTCAATTTTTGCGAGTACCACTTCGAATCTTTCGCAAATCATGCGACCCCAAGGATTAACCAAAAGATGGGCAAGGGCACGCTTTTTTGATACACGGTGCACCGGTGCTTCACTCTGCTCAGCGTTGACTTTTTTATTTGAAGATGATTCACACTCCAACCACCCCGTGACGGACAGTCACAATGCTTTACCTGACGCTGTTGAAAAGGGATCTGGATGGACTATCGACAATTTGCCAGAGCAATTCTGATGTGACAAGGAGACAGCACAGATGCCTTTCTAAGAATTTGCACAGATCCAGAAATATGGAGTTTGGAAATCACACGCCTTGAGCCCGAATCAGCTCAGAACATGATCTGACATCGTTGTGTTTAAGTCGACTTACGACGGTTTCTCCGATTGACCATCCATCACAGTTGTCGACCATGAGGTGAGGGTTCGGTGTGCTAACAAATAAAACGGCTATGGTCTAGCTCAAACGCTTTGGGAGTTCTTTCTGCTAAAGATCAACCTCGTCCAAGTTGGGCCTTCCCAGATTTTTGGACGAATGCGGAGTTGAGCTCTGGAAACTCCTACATCCAGATGTCGCAAAAAATGTAGAAGGTAACCATCTACAGCTGGATTGCAACGCTTTCAATACGAAATGCGAGACAAAGTCCACTTTTTTGCGAGATCATTTGAAGAGACACTGGCAAAAAATTCGAAGAAATTGCAGAGTTCTCAGAAGGAGAGTTCTTTACATCCGTCTCATAGCCTTGTCCTAATTTGACCAGATGCCCACCTGCTTCCCACTCGAGACCACTTTCTAGAAAAAAAATCATTCCTGACATAACATGATGGTTTTGCGGTAATCAATGCACGATCATCGTCATTACGCATACTGTGTTCATTCAGTAGTGACACATCAACTAATTTCACCACCTGTCACTTGGCTATCAAGGAAGCTGCCTAGAATGTGGTTTTAGCTAATGCAAAATTCACTCGCAAACCTGGACAACAGAACGTGGAAACAGCTTACATTTGCTCATAGGGTAAAATGATAGCAAATGAGGTGAACGTGATGAAGACAGTAATAATATACACAGTAAATACAAGTACCTGAAAGTATAATAGAAATAGACCTTCAATAATGGTCGACTGAGGGAGCGACAGTGTGCTCAGAATGGACATATTCTTCGCATTCTACCAATAATGGAATTCCTGCACTACCAGCATGTATTGTTGATGTCTTTAGACGATCACACGATCAACAAGTGTGTCTGATGAGAGCGGAGTAAGAAGGTACTTCCAAGAAACGTGATTTCAGGAAGTCTAATTTCTCTTTCCGCCTGGAAATATTTATTTTGTTTAAGATCGCACTTATACTCAAAAGTGCTGTGTCATGTAAGATATGCGAGGGTTAAGGTTAAACGACAGGTGGCATGATATAAATGCCGCATCGAATTGCCTCTGAACATTCGCTTCGGCTTCGAGCGAATCGTTAACAACGCGTTCTAGAAAAATGCACCCCCTCCTTCATGCCACTACACTGAAGTTTTGGTTCCAGCTTTCACTATTCATGGGTCTCACCGATTTTCCTACCGAATGCACCATTAGTAAAATATGATTTCCCTGGAATTCACCGCTGCTGCTCGTGCTTTCCTGTTTTCAGAAATTTTCGGATGCGCGCTCAGAACAGAATCGCAAAGGGTATCGAAAACATTTGGCTCCCCCACTTCCTTCACGATTTGAGGCGCGGCCGCGGCGAGCGCGGACGAGTCCACGGTAGGACAACCGTCCGTTTGCACTATTCGAACGTGAGGGTCGCATTTCGGTCAAGGCCTAAGAGGGGGGTCGTAATGCAATCTCGAAGACCCACAACTGAGTTCAAACAAATTACAACTTGAGGCCTACGCCTAGGCCAGAACAGGACAAGCACTACAACAGCTGTGAGCTGCAAGATGAAACAGACTCCCAAATGCCAGCCATAGGCGCGTGCGTGACGCATCCGAGAGCAAGACTTGCTTGCGCAGACCGCATTAGATTCAATTGATTATGTACAGAGGGACAGCTTCAGGCAAATCACGACGCATTCTTACGGAATGAAGAACAACTGAATGCATTGCTATGAAAAGATAGGCTTCTCGGTTCTAAAAATAAAGTTGTTCAGGGGCATGGTTTTTTGAGGACGCTTCTTCCAAAAAATTGTGGGACACATAAGGGAGCAGAAATCTCGTAGTCTTTGAACATATCTTCTCCCCTCCTCAACAAGCTTTTCGAAGGGAGTTGTTATTGCTGAAAGCTTAAAAACTCGAATGTACTGCTCAAAAACCCACAGAGAAAAATGTGCGAACGTGTGATTTTCTCGTGAAATGAACGTTGAGAAAGGGTTTGGTGTTTTTCACCAGTATCACCTGTCGTCCTGTTGATCATCGAATTGCTCGAGCGGGCGCTAGCAACGTCTCCATTCGTCCCTGTCGCGTGGCAAGAGTTGACCAGTGGACCCTCCTCGCTCAAGGGACACGATGTCCTTCATTCCTTTCGTTCAGAGCTTTCTTGTAGAATCGCTCCATTCTACAAGGAGGTCATCATCGACTTCAAGAGAGGGGTCCGACAGTGCGACACTATCTCGCCCAAACTCTTCAGCGCCGCTCTCGAGAACGTCATGCGTCAACTGGAATGGGAAGACATGAGAGTGAAGGCCGACGGTCGGCAACTACACCACCTTCGTTTTGCTGACGACGTCGTTCTTATCACGCCGAACATCGAGCAAGCGGAGCGAATGCTGGCTGATTTCGACTGCGCCAGTGGTAAGGTCTGCAGCTAGACCTAACGAAGACGATGTTTATGAGGAACGGATTGGTTCCTGATGCCCCATTCACGCTCAACGGGACGAACATCACCGAATGCTGCAGCTACGTGTACTTAGGTCGGGAAATCAATATAATGAACGATCTATCCCCAGAGCTGAGCAGGAGGAAACGAGCGGGAGCGTATAACAACATCGAGGGAGTAGTGAGGAAGACGAAGAACATCCTGATCCGTACTCCACCTCTTCGATTCTGCAGTCCTTCCTGCCTTAACCTACGCGTTATCCAACGCGTTGTTGTGAGGACGATGCTAGGAGTAATCCTATACACACAGATTCAGATGCGAATCCGGAGTGCCGAACTACGCCAACGAAGATCAAAGACGCTGCCGTTTTTGCCAAGGAATCGAAGATAAGTGGGCCGGACACGATGATTTGGTGATGACCGTTGGACCAGAGCGGTCACCGACTGGATCCCTCGGGACGTCAAACGAACACCTGGACGACCGTCGGCCCGATGGTAGGACTACTTCACGAAAGCTCAGAACGAAAGGAATTCGTGTTTATTAGAAAGAGCAAATCCTGCATTTTCTTGACATTCGAGAAGATTGCCACAGCAATAAAAAAAAGTGAGTTATGGCCACTAAAAGCCCGAAAACCCGCGTTCCCCAAAGTGTGCAGCAAAACCCCCATAAATGTGCGAACGAGTGATTTTCTTGGAAAAAGAACGTTGAGAAACGATTTGGTGCTTGTTACAAAGAGCAATTCCAATTCAAGAGCAGAGATTTTTTATATGGCAAGAAAGAGCCCTACACTTTATTGCCCTACAAAAGTTTGCCACAGAAATTAGAATGAAGTGAAGTTATGGCCGCTGAAAGCCCAAAACTCGCACTCGCACGGAAAATGTGTGAACAATTTTTTTGTGATAGTTTTCTGAAAAAGAGGTCAATCACGAAACTTTCCATATAATTTGGGTTTTCCACTTTTAACAGAAGTACTTCCCGGCGTATTAGGTAACCCTTGTAGATTTCCGAAAGCGGACCTCATGCACAGCCCAAATCTATCTCAACAATTCAAAAAATTATGTTGCAAAAAAGTCATTCCCCTGCAAAGTATTTCCTCATCCGCGTCCCGCTCTCTCACCGCCTGGGTGATACCTGCCTTGCTCCAAGGCTAACGCCGCAACGCAGCCGCGCCCCAAAGCTTCAGAATTTCCTTGAAACTTATTACTACTATTAAGCGTAGACAGCAGCCTACGAACTGAGCTGCTGTCTACGCAAAAGCAACGGGTTTTGAGTTGATGTGTCCAAGAACGGCTCACCAGGTGTAGGTGTAAACCTGCTTTTCACTCCCTTGCACGGACAGCAGCCCATGAATTGAGCTGCTGCCAAGCAGAGATGTATTGCGAAGAATAAAAGAATGGCAATGTAGAAAATGTGAATGTGAATGTAATAAAACATTGACAGCACACTTAACAGCACTCTTAGCAGCAACAGGGGAGGTCGCGCCTGGACCTCCTTCAGAGCAGGTGGGGGGAGGCAAAAATTTCGAAAATGTGCGAACGTGACGGTTGACCCTGGTCCACGGTGCTCGTTGCAACGTTTACGAAATGGACAGAAACGTTGACGAAAGTAGCTGAATCGTTGAAATGCGGCTGCAAGGTTTACGAATTGGGATGGAAAACCTCTGAAATTGTACATGTTTAGATAGTTTAACGGAACAGGCGTCTACGAAACGCCCCCGTAAATTGCTATAGCGCTTTTTGCTAGTTTTCCATTTTATCCACTCCTCTCGATCGGCTTCAACAGCAGTTTTCATGTGACTAAGTGGTAACGACATCGAAGCTAGCTAAAGCTTTCCCAAGCAGTTCCGCCTTATTTGCTGGGGGAAATTGTCAACCAACGCATGAGAGTCCATACAGAAAAACAAATACCTGTGTTTTTACATTATTCAGCCTTTAAGGGGGAGGAAAGAAAGCGGAGACGCTGCATAGTGTGCATGTGCGAGAGTGCTCGGAGAACCTACAAAACGCTACCAAGCCTTTCGATTGACCACTGCCCTTGGACAGGTTTGGGAAAGGGGATTTTGGTGCGGATCACCCGGGGCTTTCGAAATTGCGGCAAACATCCTTTAAACAGAAGTTCAAAAGAGTAGTACTTATCAAGCTTCCTATGCGAAGAATTTTTTACGCATCTTGAAGCATTCCCCCTTTAAAGATGTGCACTGCCAAGTCAAACGAACTATTGCAGCAAAATATCCCCTTCTTAAAATGACCTACTAAATGTGATCTGATGACCAACTTCTTAAAGTGTGGCAGAAAACGAGGTTGTTGATGTTTTCTAATAAAACTGAAGAGTCACCGGAAAAAGGAGAAAACTCACAACGCCAAGTACACCGACTGCTTTGTTGAAGTACTCTAGATAAGTAGCACAGAATGAGTCCACTTTTGCATCGAGTCCACGCAAAATCTCCTTGCAGACATTCTTCATCTAAAGTAGTAGAGGGAACTCAAAGCCAACATCCAAAAATCTAATAAAGTTTTTTTTTTACGTGTAGCACACGAAGAGTGCACTCTGCTCCCTGGCGGGAAGTCTATACACCATGATAAGAAAGTCGGTCAAATGCGTGGTTTTTTTGAGGCTCCGATGCTGATGCCACGTGATGTCCTGCACTCACACATCGAACGACACTCGTTGCCAAACCCTCACGAGACGATCTTATTGGCTAGTTTTTGGACGAATTTCGAATTTTGCAACTCTTTTAAATTCGGCCAATCCCATCCAGCTCATTGTGGAATCAAGGCCCGCTTCACTGTCCATCGATGGAAACCATACACTATCAAATTTGAATGGAACAGGATCGACGGGGAGTTCAAAGGGATGTTCAAAGGGTGAGTTCGAGGGATGAGAAGAAATAGAATGCTTAAGATTATCAAAAATACCATTTTTAGACTTAGAAATTAAAGAAAGAAGAAAAATCGGCAGAAGCATCAATCGCCGGGATCGCCTTGTCGGAGCCTGAGAAGGACTCATTTCATTAAATCCGACCAAAAGGTCCCGCTACCCTGGAGAAGCTCAACATCGAGCAAGCACATCAGGCAACCGTAAGATGGACCATTCACCATTACCCAGTCCGGATCCTCAAACGAGCCACAAGCCAGCAGTATACCAGCTGCAATCCGGACTCCTTTCAAATCAGATTACGACTGGAAGGCCAACCTTATATATGAACCTAACTCCCTCGTTATCATAAGGCTTCTTCCCTCTGATTCATTTGGACTGCAGACTTGAATGCAGAACGTCTCGGGCGTTTTTCGAGCAACACTGATGGAAACAAAAAAAACCTTCAAGCAATTTTTCTTCTTGTGAGAAAAGAAAGCTAAACTTCAAGCCTCCTACATCTCTTCCAAAAGGATGTAGGACTTGAACATAAGACCTACCTGCTTCTTCTCTACAACGAGAAAAGGTAGGCAGAAAAACCAGTTCTTCCAAGCAAATTGGAAATAATCTTGGGAATTTTCCTGAGAGTTCTCTATAAGGAACCGGGAAACAAGTACTCATCTTCTGCACAAATTCTCCCCAATGAGAGAACAAAAGAAGTCTAATTTTCGGACAAGTCCTCCCTGAGGAACACGGAAATTCGACAAACTTTTGACTACATCACTAATCAAAAAGTCAAGCTTTCACACTAATTCCTCCCTGAGGAACTCAAAAAGACCCGCGTGGCAGGAAATTCATCCTACACGAAGCCAAGGTGTTTCAAAAGAAATATCGCATTGAGCTCAAGCTTTAAACAGTTTAGAGCTCACTGGTTTCGAACAACTTTTGCCAAATCTTAGCATAAACAAAAACCACCGATCTCAAACAACCCTCAGCACTAAAAATGGCGGAGATTCAATTGTTTAAGACCAGAATCACGAATGCATGCAAGCCGATCCGTTCAAGCGAGTCAGATCTCAAGCTTTTGGACAACCCGTTCATATTCCTAACTCAAAAGGAGGTATGCGAGGTTTACATACGAGAAAAGACAGCACAGCTAAATCACTTGATAATAACAACGATTTACTTTTTTACAAACGATTTACAAACGATTACTAAGGCGAAGCAGCTCCACGATACCTGTCTTGACAAAGCGATCGAAACAATTAGTTCACGATCGAAGCACAAGGATCGGGCAAAGCTGATGTTCGAGCTTAACAACATGGAGCTCGAATCAAATGGTCTGGAATCACAATAATACAATGGCTGAGCAAGATCGACTTCAGAAAGGAAGAGCTGATGCAGCTAGCTTCATTCATAGCGGAGGCATTAGCATTGCCAACCAGGCTGGTAGCAGTCAGAACAATTCTAACAGCGAAGGTGACACTGTCAATCCATACGACCGCAACACACGAGTTCGGCGCCCTCTGCTCGAAGTCCCAACCTTCTCTGGAGACTTCAGGGAGTTCAATACCTCTTTGAGTCCCTCATACACAAAGATACGGACTTGAGTGACCAAGAAAAATTCCTTTTTTTGAAACAAGCAATTAAAGGAAAGGCAGCTGCATCAACCAACAGCATTCCAGTCATTGGTGACAAATATGGCGTCGCTCTGAATATACTTAAGAAACAGTTCGACAGATCATCAGGCATAGCGGACATCTTGATAAACGAGATCGAGCATCTGCCCAGGGCCCAGGAAAACTCGAGAAGTTGCCGTGATACGCTCAATGCCATATCCTCTCGAATCGTGCACCTGGAGCAAACTGGAATGCCAATGAACGCAGACAGAGTAATGCGACGCCTTATTCTCTCAAAATTCACAGAGAATATCTGTAGCCAAGTAATCAAGAAAGAAAACGAAGGTGGCACAGTATTCGAAGTAAAGAATATTTTTGACGCCGTTGATGAAATTATAACCCTTCAATAAACTACTGAGCTAACAACAAAGACGCTTTTCGGTACTCAAACCGCGCAAGCCATGCAGAACAACGCCAGAGGATATAACAACTAACGCCGCCAAAGCAAGCAGTTCCCCAGTCATCGAATGAGGCAGGTATGTCTGTGTCGAGAAGCGCACTCACCGCACCAGTGCGCCAGGTTCCCTACACCTGAGGCTCGCCGAATGGAAGCGAAGCGCCAGGAAATGTGCTGGAAATGTTTCAATAAAACTCGTTTGTCGAGATTATGCACAGCAATGGGACCATACCCCAAATGCACGGAGGATCACCATTCTTCGCTCTGCGTAAAATCGAGATTTAGTCTGGAACCAGTGAGCTTCTCCAATTGGCGACAAGATCCACCACAAAGTTCTCCTCAGCATGAAACTGCTATAGCTCCATTCCCATCACCAACCAACTTCTATCGGCAGCTGGAACAACGAAACAACAACCACGCAAGACAAGGGGATAGAGTGCAAGCATACGCTGCTCTCATTGGAGGCATGACTTCACAGTCGGAATAACCGACAACCACTCAATGCGTACTACCAATAGCGTCAGTGCTAATCTTCAATGAAGCTGAAATGGTATATCAACCAATCAATGTTCTCCTCGATTTGGGAGCTCAGAAAAGCTTCCTAAAAGCGAAGACCAAGAATCAACTGCAACTTCCCACCCGAAGCTCTGCAAAGTTCACCACCATGGGTGAGCTTCAGAAGACCTTCGACTCTCAAGAAGTTAGTATAACTCTGAAAAGCCTGCACAGCTCCAGAAAGTTGATACGGCAGGTGGTTCACTCCAAACATAAGCTAACAGCACCCACATGGACAGCACAACTATCTCATTCCGACAAACGCTTCATCAATGAAAGAGATTTCTCGCTCAGCAGCGTTGAATCGTCCGAGATTACACCTGAACTATAGGACAGGATCTTCTCAATCAAGTCTTCTGCTGTGACACACCAGCGATGATCCTTCCATCAGGACTCATTTTAACTCCCACTATATTCGGATACATGATCTCCGGATCGAGCAAGATTACCTCTGCCAAAATCAAAGACGATTTTGTGTGCAGCACACATTTCAACGTTGTGCCAATCTCTACCGCAACTGAAGGATTGGAACGAAACAATACACGTAAGGTAGATCCACGCAGTGAACACATGCCTAGCCGAACGTCAAGAAGGAAACACCGGCAGCAAGCAACACAAACGAGCGATAGCAGGAAGCAGGACAGTATGAAGCTGGACAACTCGTCAAAGCTCCCGCACGTGCTCCTGCTACTGCTGCCTTATCGCGCCGGAAGGGACGAGAATCACTACCACAACCTCGGGAAACAATATTTCGACTGCAACAACAGACGTCAGCGCAGAAAGCCAAGAAGAAGTGGACATCCTACCCCGTCGACTCACTCCGAGCAGCATCGGAGGAACAACTATAATCATATGGAATCATTTTCATCTTGATTACTGTGCTTAATTGTTTTAGAAAATTCAAGTAACATAGCTCTTTTTTGTACTTCTAGCTACCGCTAATTTTTGCCTTGCCCCAGTGTTGTGGACGAACAATCGTCGTCATATCAGAACAGAAATCTATCTCACCATTCAATTCAGGAGGTGCTAAGCCAGTTCCTTATTTTTCTTAGATTTTATTACGGTTGGAGCTACCGCTTCATTTCACCCGCCCCGTGTTGTGGATACACAACCTATAACTCCTGAACTCCTAATAGAACTAGGAGTTAGAACTAGGATTCATACAAATGATTGAAAACTTGCTAGTGCAACTTATTAACCATAGGCATAACTTGATATGAGTATCTCTTGAGATGATACCGCAGGCATGACCCGGTGGTATCATAAGTGTGCAATCAAGTAGGTTCTGCCGTTTGCGCGGTCCGCTCTTTCATCCCCCAAACTTGAGTACTAACGATGGCCCCTACGGTCCAGCGACGGTACGATATCTGAGGACCGCCCACGTATTGTGTATATAGACCCAGTGAATGTATTATTTTGGTCGATCCTTGTACTAAACGTAGTAATAAATCCTTGTTGCACGTCCCTTGTACAATCTTCCTTTGGTAATCCACCAAAGGCACTACTGCTGGCTTGTGGCTGGTCTGAAGATCCGGAGTGGGTAACGGTGAGTGGTCCATCTCGCGGCTGCCTGATGTGCTGTTTGATTTTGAACTTCTGTGAGGTAGCGGCGATGTTTGCTCTGATTGTCATGAACTGGAATCGATTTTTCAGGTTCCGATGAAGGGGATCCCGCCGAAACGCGAGCCAATAAAGTTTGTCAATAAATTCGTGTTGAGTTGAGTAGATAAAACTATTCTTACTATATAGAATGCGCTATGTCTGTCCGTGTGTGTGTGTCACGGTGTCTGTCTGTCACGAAAATCCCTTGCTCCAAGAGAACCGCCTGGAGAGACCGGGTCAAGTGTGCGGTGGGTGAGCCAGATCTCGAGAAGTACAAAACACACATCAGCTAAGCGGAGCCCCGCCAACAGCGGGCGTGGCGTGCATTGAAATGAACTGCACTGACGACCAAAATTTCAATTTTAGTGATAAAACGATCTGTGGTGCGTAATCCTCCAGTGATCTCGAAACTGGGCTAAAAAGTGGGTAAGGTGTGCATTGATAAGTCACATCGAATTAGGGAGACCACCCACGGTGGGCGAGGCGTTCTCTAAACAAGCAGTGCTTTATGAAAAAATTCATAACTCGGTTTGGAGTGAGTCTATAGTTCAAAGAAAAAGTCAGTGTAGGGGAGCAATGACTGGGGTGTTCCCCGTATGCGTAAGTGGGCGGAGGCCCGCCCACTATGGGCGGAGCGTGCTCTGAGGTGCACAGCATTTTCTACAAGTCCTCATATTTCGGGTCGGAGGAGTTTTAGGGAGCCGGAAAAAGGAGGATAGAGGTGGGTGGAGGAGTGGAGGTCAACTGCCGTCGGGAGGGGCATGACCAAAGTGGGGGGAGCTGGCGACGAAAATTCACAACTCGGTTTCAAGAGGTCCCGGAGACCGAGGAAAAGGGAGATACAGATTTTTTGAACATGTCCAAAGTGGACGGAATTATCTACAAAAATTCATAACTCGGTTATAAGAAGTCCTGGAGACTGGAAAAAAAAGGTGATTTGGGTCCGTCAACGAAAGGGAGGTTAACAGCTATTGGAGGGAGGAGCGTGCACCAACGTGGGCGGAGTTTGTCCTAAACTTATAATACAGTTCCGAGAAGTCTAGGAGACCGGGAAAAGAGTGGGTTGAGCCCGACAATGCACGGGAGAAGAACTGCTATTGGTGGGTGAGGCGTGCAACAAAGTGGGCGGAGTTAGCGGGGAGAATTCAGAACTCGGTTTCAAAAAGTCCCGAAGACCAGGAGAAAAGGTGGATTCAAGTGGTGAGGGAGGGAACCCAACTCTTTTGGTGCGCCATGGTGGTTGTTCACAAACACCAGTTTAGTTCCGCACCCGCGCGTATAAAACGGTGAGCTTCAGCAAAGTAGGCAGCCAATCGAAAGTCAGCTATGCATTCACAAAGCAGCTGTTGGTTCGTGAAATGCGTTTTCAGCGGTGGGACTCAACCCTCCACAGGCTGTCCACTTTCAACAAAGCCTACCGTGTCATGCGCGCGGTAGCGTGCGGCGCTAAACTGGTCATATATATTGCCGAGTCTACAAAGCCGTATGGCAACTTTTTGTATTTGCAGAAACAGCGAGACCAGCTAATTAATTGGAAATACTACCTATTAACCCTTTGACGACCGCCGTTATGAATGTGTCACATCACTTCCTTCTAAATTTTTTCATCAATAATCATTAACTCTCCAACAATTTCACAATTACTAATTAGCGCATTACTCCGCAAATTCGGTAATGTATTTGTTGAAAAAGAAACATAAAAAATGCCATAAATCCCTAAAAAAGTGTCGCCACCGAGCGAAAGTGTGGCCCACCGGCGGGCCACACGGTCGTCAAAGGGTTAAACTAGAAATTGGAGGCCAGTTTGGAAAACTTAAGTAACATGTAGTGGATTTAACAGTATCAACGTGCAATTAAAAATGAACCATGTTGAAATTAAAGCCAGAAAAGAACTGAAGAAGGCTAGAATCGTACGAGTTCTGCCATTAATCAGCTCTCTACTGGCAATGAAGGAGTGTGATACTGGAAAAAAGAAACGTATCAGTATGGAAGGCAAGAATACTACGCAAGTAGAGAAATACTATAAGTACAAATACTATAAGAAGAGCAATCACACCATAATACTCCCTCCTTTGTTTGTTTGGAACGTTTTCCGAATAAAAATCAAGTGGAATTAGATGAAAGGAAAGGATTAGCGAAGCAGCGCAGTAGAGCATTTCGCGACCAGCGAATAATAGCATTGTATCGGGTATCCACAAAACTTGACCAAATGCCTCGCTTACCGTTGTGAGCAGGACAAGAATGTAACTTCAGCATTAAGCAGGGGCTACCGTAATCCAGTTAGCGCGTCCAATAAAACGCATGCCCGCCCCAGGCCCACACTAAATAGTGAGACTGACGACTCAACGTTGCGCGAAGAGTGTCCGCATTGCGATATAATCGCGGTTATTCCCGCAATCTTATTCGCAATTATCAGCGATTTTACCAGTGTTCACCGTGCGCGGATTCGAATATAACAGCGGGCGCTAGCGCTGTGACGGCAGCACAGTGATCTTACTAGAGCGGAAGTTTTTGAACAGCGACACAGGAAAACTTTTAAAAAAGTGTCTTCGTTGTTAATGTATGAATTAAGGGGAACTGAGCATAAAAGGCGCAGTGGGTTAATGGGTATGACGCTTAGGAGATTTGTGCGGAAAGGATTTGTACATTCGCGTACGGGAAACACACTTGCTCAACAATTTGTGCAGGAGAATCGCTTCGAATCGCCTCACAATCGCTACAATATGTAGCTTAGCTGGGGTTTAGAATAGGTTTCGGCTAAATATAAGCGAAGTATGTCAAAAACTATTCAAGTCG